GTCTCCCCTTTTTATTTTGTTACCTTCTCTGTCAGGGAGATTAGTGGTCCCCCAGAGATGAAAGATGTTGGTGTCCTAACTTCGCTGGTGTAAGTTCAGGATCTTGGTGGGGACCAGAGGCAGAGGAGTGGGGGGGAGGCTCTGGGGAAGGTTGACCCACGGGTACTAAGTTATAGCTAGGTAGGTAGGAGCAAGAAGTTCCTGGGGGCTGAGGTTGTGGCTCAGCGGTAGAGCACTTACCTAGCACACATGAGGCCCTGGGTTCACTCCTCAGCACCACATAAAAATAAATAAATAAAGGTATTGTGTCCAACTACAATTTAAAAAATTTTTAAAAAAAGAAGTTCTGCTGTGCTATTGCAAAAATTGGATGGCAATAATGTACCGTGCATTTTGAAAACTAGAAAAAGGATTTTGAAAGTTTTACCATAAAGAACTAATAAATGTTTGAGGAGATAGATATGTTTAACCTGATTTAAACATTACATAATGTAAACCTGTATCAAAACATCATTTGTCCCATTAATTATTATGTATACAGGCATCAGTTAAAAATAAATTTTATTTAAAAAATGTTAAGGATTGTCACCAGCCATCAGTGGGCTGTGGGTGCACTATGTGGCACATAGTAACCTCTAGAGGGGATGAATCTGGCATTGGGAACTCCCTGGTGCACTCCCCACAGAGACTGACTGCCTCAAGCTCTGCCTAAAATCCCACACAGCACCTGAGATGGGTGTGAATGGCCAAGATGTCAATCAACCTGCTGACTGCTGAGATATCACAAAGCAAGACTCTGCCCTCAAAACCTTACCCCTGGGGGCTGGGGATATAGCTCAGTTGGCAGAGTGCTTACTGCACAAGTACAAGGCCCTGAGTTCAATCCCCAGCACCACAAAAAAAAAAAAAAAAAAAAAAAAAACCTTCCCCTGCCTTTGATGTTACCCCTTAAATAAACTACAGGAGCCAATTTGTCTGTCTAGTTTAAGAACCCATGTGGACTAGCTCTATCAGGGGTTCACTTTTGTAAATATATTTCTGAGTGTTGGTGTTTATTATTTGTTAATTATTTGAGATATTAAGATTTAGGGTGGCTATTTTGGGTGGCTTAGATTTCTCTGGGCAGAAGAACCCCCCAATGATATGCTGGCCATCTTGCCCTCCCAAAAAAGGATCTTGAGATGGGGAGCCTATCCTGGATTACCATGGATTAGCTTTCCATTGCTATGGCCCAAAATACCCGACATAAACAACCTAAAGGCCCAGCTTGGTGGCATAAGCCTGAAATCCAGCTACTTGGGAGGCTGAGGCAGGAGGTTCGCAAGTGTGAGGCTAGATTCAGCAACTTAGTGAGACCCTGTCTGAAAATAAAAAAAATAAAAAGGGATGGGGGATGTGGCTCAGTGGTAGAGCACCCCTGGGTTCAATCTCCAGTACAAACAAAAAACAAAACAACTGAAGGAAGAAAGACTTACTTTGGCTCTCTGCTTCAAAGGTCTTAGTCTTGGTCAGCTGGCTCCATTGCTCTGGGCCCGAGGTGAGGCAGATTATCATGGCACAAAGAGGTGGTGGAGGAAAGCTGCTCAGCTCAGGGCAGTTAGGGCCGAGGGTTGAGGGGAGAGAGGGAGAGGAAGGGTCCAGGACAAGACATATTCCTCCCACCTACTTCCCAGTGACCTACTTCCTCCAAGCAGGCTCCCCTGTCTACACTTCCCACCTCTTCCCAGTAATGTCATCAAATGTGAAGTCCTCAAGGGGTTAATCTGTCAATGAGCTCAGACCCTAAAATCCCCACCTCTGAACACTGCTGCACTGGGGACCAAGCCATCAATCAGGAACTTTCCAGGGACATTATATATCCAAACCATAACAATCTAATTTGGTCTAATGTAGCACAAGGGTCCTTATCAGAACATGATGGTCTGTTACTAATTATTTTTAAAAGTATATGTCAGGTCGGTGGCAGTGACTTAGGACAAAGCAGCCCATGAGGGAAAGAAACATCAATCAGGCACCAAGAGCCTGTCAATCAATGGGATCTCCTGGGTAACGCCTGTCAGCAAGACCTCCTGACCAATGCTGGATCTCAACCAGTTCCCCCGACCAACTCCAGCCCTTCCCTTCCTGCCTAAGCCCCATAAAATTCCAGTCTGGTCGAGCTCCAAAGTGGTTTCTCCTCAGATCCTTCTCCTGTCCACTCTGTGGGTCTGATTGATTTCTGTCCAGGAGTGATATCTCAAATAAAGCCTCTTTTGGTGGTCCTTTTAAATCTGCCTCCTTTGGTTGCTGCCCCCCTTGCCTGATCTCACAGTATATATATAATAAAATTTTACACACACACACACACACACACACACACAAATATTTATTTGGTTTGGTACCAGGGATTGAACCTGGAGGTACTTGCCCACTGAGCCACATCCCCAGCCCTATTTTGTATTTTATTTAGAGACAGGGTCTCACTGAGTTGCTAGGTGTTTCGATGTTGCTGAGGCTGGCTTTGAACTCATGATCCTCCTGCCTCAACCTCCTGAGCCACTGGGATTACAGGTGTATGCCACTGTGCCTGGCTATATTTATTTTTAATTGACACAGTGATAGTACATACTTATGGGGTACGTAACATTTGAAGAATACAATGTGTAAATTAGGGCAACTGGTGTAAATATCATATTGGACATTTTCGGGGCTACTAAATTTCTTTATTTAAAGGAATGTTACAAATTAAAGGACTTTAGTGGCTGTTTTGGAACAACTGATGGAAAAGGTAACCCTGACAAGCATACACTGCCTTGGTGGCCAGGGCAGTCAGTTGGTGGTCTAAGGCTTAGCTCTTCTTGTTACCGTCAAAGAGATATTCTGTCATGCCTGATTCCAGGCCCTTGTCTTCTGCAAGTCACCCAGTTCTTGATGAACTTCATCTCCACATTCAGGTAACGAGTTTCAGTGAAGTCACAGGAGCAGCGGTCACTTCTGTCAGTGGCCAGTGTGTGGTCCCAGTAGTGACTGATTCACACTTTTCCCAAGTGTGAGGCACATTCCAGTGCATCCCCCTGCTCTCCTGGTCTGGTTTCTTGACATCCTTGACATCTGGTTTCTGGACTCTGCCACCTCCTTGGTTCTGCAGCCCCCTTCGTTTCTCTGCGTGCCCCTCCTGCCATGAGACTGGTGAAGAGAACATGTGGCCAAGTGCTTCAAGGCCACGCTCAAGGTAGCAAGATACTGACTCTCCAGGAACACGCCTCGGAGCTTTACTATTTTGTTGGGTTGGGAACATTCAAACTCCTCTCTATTACACTACAGGTTTTGGAGATGGAGGGTGGAGACCATGAGCTGAGGAATGCGAATGGCTTCTACAAAGTGGAAAAGGCCAGGGTGTGCCGTTCCCTACCCCACCCCTTCAGATGGAACCCAGCCCTGATTTTTGGACTTCTGACCTCCAGAACTATAAGATCATGAATTTTCCTTGTGGTTACTGTTACTGCAGCAATAGGAAATAGATATGCCTCTAACATCCTTTATAATTTTACTTGCTTATTAGGATGGCTTTTTATTTTTATTATCATTATTTTTTAAATCTTTTCCCTGCTATAAAGCTTCTCAAGGGTAGAAATTTTTGTCTTTTTTCCTCACTGAAAAAGCTGAGCACCCAATATGGCCCTGGCAAACAGTAGGTGTTCAGTGTGTATTAACATTCAGATGAGGGATGGGAATATAGCCCAGTTGGTTGAGTGCTTGCCTCACGTGCACAAGGCCCTGAGTTCAATCCCCAGCAGTGTGTGTGTGTGTGTGTGTGTGTGCGCGCGTGCGTGCGTGCGCACGGGTTTTAAAAGGCAACAAGCTTTCTGTCTGCGTCCATGTTTGCAATGGTTACTAATTTGGCCTAAATTGACCACCCCATGCTTTGTTTCCATCAAGGGGGTGAGTGGGCCAGTAATTTTGGAGACCCAGCCAAAATAGGGGCCAGGTTGCAGCAGATCCCCGGGCCCTTCCATTTCCAAATCCTGAAATTTTCAAGTATCACGACAGGCTGAGTCATCATCTGTTGTTCCCTTAGGTCCTCTGTCACAATAGGCTGACCTTCTCAGAGATGGTAGTGTCAATGAGCAAGAGCAAGACACCCCATCTCCTCCAGGTGGTGGGGCAGCCAATAACTAGTGGTTCCACTTTCCTTTTGGACGGTACTGAATAAGCACCCACAGCCTGCGGGAGAAATGCGAAGCAGTAAGCAATACCTATCTTGCTCTTGCGCCTAGTGCGTAGACAGACGTGCACAAAGGTAAATGAAAATACAAGCCACTACACGCAGTGCAGGCCTGCGGGCTGAGGGGTTTATGGTGGTTGAGGTGATGGTGCATAAGGATGCAGAAGGTCTTTGAGGGACCGGAGCACAGGGAAGGGGAACAAGGGGGCTGCGGTGATTGGGACAAGTGTGAGAGCCAAGACCCTCAGGAGCCTTTGACACGTCCAGGAAACCTTGCCTTACACGCACGTACCAGGCCAGAGTACGCGGAAACCTCAAACGCCAGGCTCAGGAGCAGGCCAGCTTTGCGGCGTTTTAGAATTCCAGTCCCCAAATTGGCGTTTACTCCGCCCTCTACTTTTCAAATAAATCTCAGTTGTGCGCACGCGCCTCGCCAACGCGGAGCTAGGTCATTTAATTCCATGGGGGCAGACATTTTTGATTCTGGCAGAAAAGTTGAAAGAGCTGGGGACATTATTAACCTGAATGCACTACTCAGCAGGGTAGGGGAGCTAGAGCTCCTCCGAGAGCGGCAAAAGCAAGCGGCGGAGAGAGCAGTGATGCGTCGGTAGGCAGAACACGCTCCAAAGCGTCGCCGGCGCCCTGCCCTCACCAGATATGGCGGCGGTGGGGGCGCTCTAGCCGGCGCCCCGCGGGCTTCCGGGGCTTGCTCTTCAGGGGGCGTGGCCGGGCGTCCGGCTGGGAGGGGCGGCGCGCTGGGCTCGATGGGAGCGGCCGCGGAGCACGGCCCGAGGGCGGGATTTCGCCCCTCTCGCGCGCTCCGCGGCGCGTCCCGCAGCCCTAGGCCGACTCGCCGCCGCGGCCGTCACAACCGCTTCGGGTTCTGCCCCGCGTGGGCGGCTGCCACCGCGCCTCGGGCCGGACGATGCCCAAGAAGCTGCTGCTGCTGCCCCCACTGTCCGCGTGCTCGGCCTTCCGCGCCCCGGGAGCCCGCCCCGCCGCTGCGCCGGCCATGAACGCCGCCCGCACCGGCTACCGCGTCTTCTCGGCCAACTCCACGGCCGCCTGCACCGAGCTGGCCAAGCGCATCACCGAGTAAGCGCGCGGCGGGCCGGCTGCCTGCCCCTCGGCCTCCCCGCAGCCCGGCCCTGGAGAGCGGGCCGCCTCCCCATCCCGGGCGCCGGGGGCGTTGCTGAGCCCGGGGGCGCGGCGCGTCAGGGCGCGGCCCGCTCCGCGGCTGGAGCTGCCCCCTGGAGCTGATCGCCGCTGTCCCCGGGCTCCAAGCGGGACGGGGTGGGGGTTGTGTCGGGCCACACACCGAGGGTGTGCGGAGGGCAGGGGGAAGGGGCAGCTCTGGGAGCGCGTTGGCCCTGCCTGGGCGGAGCAGAGATAGGCCTAACCGTGCTCTCTAAGGCGGCTTGAGGTTGGAGCATTCAAGTCAAGCCTTCGCCCTTCTGAGCCTGTGGCCTCAAGTGGCTTTTGGATCTGACAGCTCTGAATACCTTCCCTGGCTTCTTGCCACTTACCAACTCTGTGACCCAGAGCCAAAGACTTGGTTTTCCTGAACTTCATTTGTCAAGGGATGATTCTGTCTATTGGACAGGGCTTTTTGTGAGCTTGACGATGATAATGAAGATCATCAGATACATAGCAGAGCAGGGGCTCCTAGTGGCCCTCTGATAATAACCTGTTTTCTAAGCCCAGACTTCTAATGGGAAGAACCTTACAGGAAGAACCCTTTCCAAACAAACTTGTTAGGAATATAAACATAAAACGAATAGTTTGTTTTGCAATATTTAGTCATTTTCACATTTTTAAACACCTTTATTTACTTTTAGTGGTGCTGAGGATCCGAACCCAGAGCCTCTCATGTGCTAGGCGAGCGCTCTGTCTCAGAGCCACAATCCCAGGCCCAGTCATTTTCACATTTTAAACAGTTTACGTTGTGTTTCCTGGGTGAATTCTCAGGGCTGGGGACAGTTGCATTCATAATGTTGTAAAATTCTAGATGGAATTGTAGAGGAAAACAAAACTTAACACTTTTTTCAGCTGTTTTTCAGTTGGAATTTTGAGATTGCAAGAGTGTTAAAAAACAGTTGTTTTGCACTCTACTATCTTCTGTTTCTAAGCCCCTATTATTTGTCTTATTGAGGCCAACTAAAACACTAACTTTAAACCTGAAGGTTGTGTTTGTTTACATTGGGTCAGATTTACCACACATGACCTTGCCTGAGAAGCTAAGAGAGAAGGGCACATTTAAAGACAGTGGTTTTTGTTTGTTTTTAATGTTAGATTCTTCTCTGCCATGTTCTAGAAAGGTTTGAAGTCACTGTAAATAACAAATGTTTGTAAATACTCATTTGCTCTATATATTGTTTCTAATAACATTGTGTGTGTATATACTTATATTTTTTTTGGTCTGGGTCAAACCCAGGGCCTTCCACATGCTGAACAAGCTCTCTATCACTGGGTTACACCCCCATCCTCTCCAAAACATTTTATTTGAAGAAAGAGTTTTGCCCACTAAACAGGGTTTGAAGATGACTGACCTTTGAGGTTATCATATTTTATTTCCTGATTCTTTTCAGCTCTGAATTCAACCAAGGATCTTTGACCCCACTCCCCCACCCCCACCCCGCCCGCCCTGGATTGAAGCCTGGTGTACTCTACCATGAACTATGGCCCCAGCTCTTTTTATTTTTTGAGACAGGATTTCACTAAGTTGCCAGGCTGGAAAATTTGTTGTCCTCCTGCCTCAGCCTCCCAAGTAGCTGGAATTGCAGGTGTGTGCCACTGTGCCCAGCCAAGGAATTTCAGATTTTTGGTTAACACACTTTAAACAGCCGAAGAGTTGGGTGCCTCACATTCCCAGAATATATGTTAGAGGTGTGTTGTACTTACTCCCCAGGTGCCCTGCATCCAGCTTCTACTAGAAGTCTTTTTACATGTATTCCACTATTATAATTTGGGGGGGAGGGGGCTGGAGTATTTTTTTTTTTTTTTTTGGTAAACTATACATAAATTACCTTTTTAACAGTTTTTAATTATACGGTTCAGTGACAGTAAGTATTCACAATGTTTGAGCAACTATCACTACCATCCATTTCCAGAACTTTGTCATCCAAACATAGACTTTATTTATTTATTTATTTTTTTTAAAGAGAGAGAGAGAATTTTTTTTTTTAATATATATTTTTTTTTTCAGTTTTTGGCGGACACAACATCTTTGTTTGTATGTGGTGCTGAGGATTGAACTCGGGCCGCACTTATGCCAGGCAAGCGCTCTACCGCTTGAGCCACATCCCCAGCCCAAACACAGACTCTTTATGTGCTCACGAAATACTTACTCCCATTCTCCCCTCCCACAGCCCCTGGTAACCTCTCTTTTTTGTGGTGCCAGGGATTAGAACCCAGGATCTTAGTACATGCAAGGCAAGCACTCTACCAACTGAGCTATATCCCCAGCCCACCCCTGGTAACCTCTATTCTGCTTTCTGTCTGTGAATCTGCCTGTTCTAGGTACTGCCTATTGAATGGGATCATACAATATCTATCCTTTTGTGTCCAGCTTATTTTACTTGGATTTTTTTCAAGTTTCATTTGTACTTTCACACATATTAGAGCTTCATCCTAGAGGCTGGTGAGGTTCTGTTGTATGCATGAACCTGGCTGGAATGGTTTTAAATAGATTCTACCCTTGTGACATATAACATATCCAGGCAAGATTCATACTATATCTGGTTAATGGCACTAAAGTTCCTTTTCATCTACATGCCTTTTTTTTTTTTAATATTTTATTGGTTGTCAACGGATCTTTATTTGTTTACATGTGGTGCTGAGAATCAAACCCAGTACCTTACACATGCTAGGCAAGCACTCTGCTACTGAGCCCCAGCCCAGCCCTACAAACCTTTTTTTGTGTGTGTGGTGCTGGGGATTGAACCAGGGCCTTGTTGTTCTAGGCAAGTGCCCTACCATTGAGCTACATCCCCTGCTTTTTTCTTTAATTTTGAGATAGGGACTGATTTAGTTGCTGGGACTGGCTTCAAGTTTGTGATCCTCCTGCCTCAGCCTCCTGAGTTCTTGGGATTACAGGTGTGCATTGTCATGCCGGACTCCATCTATATATAATGCTTTTGACAATTGAGACATTTATGTGTGTCCTGTGTTTTTGAAGTCATTGCTGGTAACCATGTATTTGGGAATGATTTTCCAAGACAACTATTGTTCAAAAAACAATGAATCACTGGGCATGGTGGTTTGGGCATGTAATCCCAGCCATCTGGGAGGCTGAGGCAGAAAAAGTCCTAGGCCAGCCTAGGCAACTTAGTGAGACCCTATCATAAAATATAAAACAGACTAGGGAGATAGATAGTTCAGTGGTAGTCCACCCTGGGTTCAGTTCCCAGTACTGCAAACAAAATCAGAAAACCAAACCTAACACAGTTGTGCATGCCTGTAATCCCAGCTACTTGGGCTCTATTTATTTATTTATTTCTGGTAGCAGATATTGAACCCAGGAGTACTTAATCACCAAGCCACATTTTTAAGCCCCACCCCCACTTTAAAAAATATTTTTAGTTGTAGATGGACACAATGTCTTTATTTTTTATGTGCTGAGGATTGAATCCAGTGCCTCACCCAGTGCTCTCCCACTGAGCCACAACCCAGCAGGAGGATTGCAAGTTTGATGCCAGCCTGAGCAACTTAGATTCTGTCTCAAAATCTAAAAAAGTAAAAGGAGCTGGGGATGTAGCTCAGTGGCAGAGCCTCCTGGAATCAGTTCCTAGTACCACAAAACACAGTGACCCTGATGTTAAATGTGGGTTGTGGGCTTTCTCCAATAAAACTGTTACAAAATGGCACTCTGCTTAGGGAGCAGGGGTGGGGTTTTAGCTTGGGCTTTGGTCTAGTGCCCTCTAGTTACTTTCTGTTAAAACAGACACATGAACTGGATTTGCCTAGGAAGAGAATTCTTAATTGCCTTTTTGTCTTGTTTTATCTGTGCTATAGGCGTCTTGGTGCTGAGTTGGGGAAGTCTGTTGTATATCAGGAGACTAACGGAGGTAAGTTGGTGTTTCCTGAAGATCCTGTCTTCCCTGAGCTATTGAATCAGCTGGCGTGTTTTTAGAGAGTAGAACATGGCAATGTCAGAGGTATACATACTGTCCTTCTGTGCTTCCCTTGAGATCTGACTTCTCCTTCTCTTCCATAGTGTCTCCTTTCCTTTTTTTCCATGATGATGTAAATATTCATCTGTTGTTTTAGAATAAAACAAGGAGACACATAGAATGTTTTTTCTTGTACATCAGGTTGTAGTTGATAAATACTTTCTACGTTTGTCTCATTTGTCATCAGATGACGTCAAGAGCCATTGGGTGCTAGGTATAATGACTTACAAGTCTTCTAGACTCTCACCGTGGGCTGGTGACCCATTTTTGTTTCCCACCGGTGTGCAGAGAACTGTACAAAATTGACAGCACTTGAAGGCGTTTTGTGGTGGCCAGTGTTCTCTCAGTGCTGGATCAGAAACGTCCCCGTGGGGCCAGGTATTTCAGACTATACTGCTCCTATTAATTGCAAAGGCAAATTAGTATACAATAATTTGAGATTGTTTCTACAAAATTGAAAGACTAGGTACATGACTCTCTGCTTCCCTTTCTTTTTCTAAGATGTAACTATAACTGACTTAAGTAGCTTGAGGAGGAGTTACCAGGACAGTGACAATGGGGTCTAAGCTGGCCAAGCACTGCAGAAGGAACATGGAATGGAGTTCAGTGGGTTGTTGTGTGGAAGGCACATGTTCCCAGACGTGGATAAGTCACTTGTGGATTTTTGTTTGTTTGTTTGTTTGTTTTTTCATGGTTGTAGATGACCAGAATGCCTTTATTTGTTTACTTTTATGTGGCACTGAGGATTGAACCCAGTTCCTCACACAAGCTAGGCAAGTGCTCTGCCGCTGAGCCCCAGCCCAGCCCTCACTTGTGTTTTAATTTACCACCTGGCACCTTTCACCCGGCTTCTACACTTAGCAACTTTTTACTTGGTGACTCTATTTATTTATTTATTTTTGGTAGCAGATATTGAACCCGGGGGTACTTAATCACCAAGCTACATTCTTAAGCGCCACCCCCCTTTAAAAAATATTTTTAGTTGTAGATGGACACAACGTCTTTATTTTTTATGTGGTGCTGAGGATTGAATCCAGTGCTTCACCCAGTGCTTTCCCACTGAGCCACAACCGCAGCCTCCCTAGCCTTTTTGGTTCTTATTTTTGAGTCAGGATCTTGCTGAATTGCTGAGTCTGACTTTGAACTTGTGATCCTCCTGAGCTGCAGGGATTATAGGCATAGGTATGGTGTACTGGGTGATTTTAGGACTTTATCTACTGCCAGGGAATTTAGAGATTTAAAATCTGAAGCTGAATGTGGGTGGGCCCGGTACTCTAGCAGTCTCCAGCTTAAATCATAGTGTTACATTTGGGGGTCTCATGAGATGAAGCACTTGGGGAGGAGAAGGTGAGTAAGGAAAACCCTAGAACCTCCTAAGCATCTTATGTACAAGTATCTTTATTTCAGTGATAGTTTTGGGGGTGTTTCCATTTTATTTTGTTTATTGGTTTTCTTTTTTATTTTTTTGACAGAGACTTCATGTGAATCTGTTTTTTGTTTTTTTGGGGTTTTTTTGGTACTGGGGATTGAACTCAGAGGTACTCCACCACTGAGCCACATTTCCAGCCCTGTTTTATATTTCATTTACAGACAAGGTCTCACTGAATTGCTTAGCACCTCACCATTGCTGAGGCTGGCTTTGAACTTGTGATCCTCCTGCCTCAGCCTCCCAGGCTGCAGGGATTACAGGTGTGTGCCAACATGCCCAGCTGGTTAGTTTTATCTTCTACTTTTGGCTTACTTTTTCCCTAGCTTGACTTTACTTTTTTCTTTCTTTTTTTGCACAGCATTAGAGATTGAACATAGGCTCTCACACTTTGCTAGACAAGAACTCTGCCACTGATCTCTGCTTCCCCACCAGCCCTTTTAATAAATGCTATTTTTAGATGGGGTCTTAAGTTTTCAAGGCAGGCCTCTAACTGGTCATCCTCCTGCCTCCGCCTCCCAGGAGCATCCCCATGCCCCACCAGCTTGACTGTCCTAATGTGTATGTTTGTCATTCTGGAGTCCTTCAGGAATTGACTTTGTTTTAGCAGTTGAAGTGTTGATTTGGAGTCTTCTTTGCTCCCTTTAAGTGCCAGCTGCTAATCATTGCATTGTGAAGTGCTGCTGTGAAAACTTGAGAACATTTCTATTTTTCAGAAACAAGAGTTGAAATAAAAGAATCTGTTCGTGGCCAAGACATTTTCATTATACAGACAATACCCAGGTAAGAGCACTATTTGATGAATTATTTTTTTCCTCTAAAAACCATTTTTTCCCATGTGAGCAAGTCAAGGTTTTCCTAAACTATAAATTTGTCAGCATGTTAAATGCTTCCCAGAACACATTTCTGGTCCCCTAGAATTCCTACACTGTTGCACTATACTGTACCAGTGTACTTGACCTCTTCCCAAGCGTTAAACACCTCAAGGACAAGATCTCTTGTTTCTGGGTGCACTAAATCCAGGCCATTGTTTGCCAGCTCCGCTCTGCAGAAGAGCTTGTTGTTGAACCTGCTTTGTAACTGCTCCTGGTTCACAGATGGCCTTTCTTTTTTTTTTACTCTTTGGTCTTCTAGGGATTGAACCCAGGGCCTCGTGGATGCAATGCAAGCTCTCGATGGCTGGGGCACCTCCCAGCCCTGCACACCATTTTATTGTGCACTGTTTGCCTCTTCTGGCCATCTCTATTACAGACGGCATCATCACTCCTTCCCATAACACAGGAGGGCTGACCCAGGGGCCTGTGTCCTGTGGTCATACATCTGGGATTCTTTCTCTTTTCATTGCCGGTACAATGGGATTCTTGATCCCCTTTGCATTCCTAAGGCTTTGTTAGCATTAAGGATGGTACTGAAGCTGGGTGTAGTAGTACATGCTTGGACTTCGCGTACTCAGAAGGCTGAGGCTGTGGGAGTAACTTAGGTCCTGTCTCAACGCGAAAAGGGCTGAGGACGGAGCTCAGTGGTAGAGCCCTGTACACCCTGCACGGGCCTATCAGTCTTTCCTACCCCCTCCTCCCAAAAAGAAGACTGGCACTGAGTGCCTGTGGTGTCCAGGCATTTTGTGTGTTTCACGTTTAATCCTTAAATGCTACCTGACAGCTGTTTTTGCCACCATTGAGGGGATTGAGAGGGCTGGGTCTGCAGGAGATCAAGAACAGCAGGGTCATAGAGTTATATACACTCAAATATAACCAAATCTCCTACACAGTGTTACTGGCAGGTAATAAATATTTGATATATTTTTTAAAATATTTGTTGATTGACCTTTTTATTTATTTTATTTATTTATATGTGGTGCTAAGACTCGAACCCAGTGCTTCATGCATATCAGGCAAGTGCGCTACCGCTGAGCCATAACTCCAACCCAAATATTTGATTTTTAATGCTTTCTTTCTGATCATAACAATAACAATGTTAATTACTAAAAATACAGACAGGTGGTTATGGTGGTGCATGCCTGTAATCCCAGCAGCTTGGGAGGCTGAGGCAGGAGGATCAAGAGTTTAAAGCTAGCCTCAGCAACTTAGTGAGGGCCCAAGTAACTCAGTGAGACCTGTCTCTAAAAAAGGTCTGGGGCTATGTCTCAGTGGTTATGTGACCCTGGGTTCAGTTCCAGTACAAAAAAAAAGGACAGGCGAAAGGGTTAGGGATATGGATCAGTAGTAGTGTCCCTGGGTTCTATCTCCAGTACCAAACAAAGAACTAGGCATATCAGTATAAAAGAGCTATCTCATCTTTTAAAAATTCTTAGTTTGAAGCAATCAAACTTATAGGAAACTTGCTTGTACTACCATCTCTGTTTTTAATGTGGTGCTAGTGATGGAACCCAGGGCTTCGCACATGCTGGGCAAGTGCTCTCCCTCTGAGCTCTACCCAGCCTTGATGTGGCCCTCTGAGAGTAGGCTGGCACCTGATGGCTTCCCAGCCCAGAAGTTCAGTGTGTAATTCCTGTAAACAAGGACTTTTCTTTCTGTAATCACAACACGGCCATCAGAATATTAAACAAGTGACTCCTGTCTAATCCTCGGGCCATGTTAGTTCTGCCCACCATTGCAGTGATGTTTGGAGCAGAAAGATCTAGTTCAGAACCTCAGCTGGTGTTTAATTGGATCTGCTCATCCTCACTCTTCCTTTGGCCTTCAAAACTTTGACATTTTTTAAGACTTTTTATTGAAGATTTTGACATTTTGCTGTTGGGATGATGAGATTGAGGTCAGACATCTGTGGTGGGAGGTGGGGTAAAGCCATGTCGTCCTGTTGCATGGCATTGCGTGGATGCGCCATGTTCTAGCGAGCAGTCATGGCCAGCTTGCGCCTGTGCTGACTCAGCAGTGTGTGAGCACATCGCCTGTTTCCAGCTATAGGAAGATTCCAAGAAGTGGCATTGCTGTTTGGAAGGTTCATGCATTTGTGTCTGGGGAGATATGGCTGCACTGATAGATATTTGTAGTATCTGTGGTATTGATAGATATGTTCCTCTCGTGGTGACTGGTTCTTTTTTGTTTAGTTGATTTTGACATGTGTCTTGGGAATGAGGAAGACCAGGGGGCCTGCCTAGAAACCCAGGGAAATGGATGATAGACACATTGCTTTTGCTTGTCCTCCTTCCTAGCACTAGACACAGTGCCTTGAATTTGGAAACACTGGGCAGTCCTGTTGCATGCTTCCAGTCTCAGAGTCACTTCCTGCCTTGTATTCTTTCTCTTGTGACCGCTCAGTGTTTTTGTTTATTTCAGTGTTGATGGACCTTTACTTTTATTCATTTTTTTTTATATGGTGCTGAGAATCAAACCCAGTGCTTCATACAGCCTGACTGCTCAGTTTTGATCCCACAGAATCCCTGTTTGAGGAAGCCTCTTACTGTGTGTCTTTCCCAGATGCCTCGCTGTGGGTAGCTAGCTGTGGACGTGCTGAGAGGTACAGGTTTTTGTGGACCATGTAAATCTGGAAATGGAAGTGGCTGGTAAGGGATGGGCAGCACACAGGTGGCAGGCAGAATAGGACCTTCCTTTTGGGTGTCATCTGAGAAGATCGGTTGTTCTAACTCCATTACAAACTGCTGGTCCCACTAGACAACAGACTTTGCTGACCCACTCTTGAGTCCAGCAGAACACGACAGCGGGTGTGCAGGTGTCACTACAACCTTGTACACCTGTCATTCTCTGCCTTGAAATGAATGGGTTTGACCTATGTCACTAGCATATAGAGTCCCTAAATTCTTGTGGAGTGAATTATGAATACTTTGCATAATTTTTTGCATCTCTGTCTTTTCTGCATTTTCACATGATAATTGTGATCCTTTTGTACTGTTCTTGGATCTCAGCAAGATCCTTCCTTCCCTGGTTGGTACTTTGATATTCCTGACTGTAACTCAGACTGTCCTTACCATGTCGTTGTAAGTGCAGATTCACAGTTTACTATCCTGGCAAGAAAGCATTCACCATTAACGGCAGCATCCTTTGTGATCCCTTCCTGGTGTCCAAGTTGTCCTAAGCTAGTCAGCCAGAATGCTGCAGTTAGTGTAGGAACATTACATTGTGGCGTCCTCTGTGGTAAAAGGTTGCATTTTATATAATCCTTGGTCTCAGTATCATGGTGGTCATGAGTGCTCAGTATAAATATTTAACGCCTGCAGTCCAGAGGATCCTGGGGCAGTGTGTAGGCCATACTTTGCAAGTGAAGGATCATTGATGAACAGGTTTCTTCCGGGGAAGGAGCAGAGAAGCATGGAAAAGCAAATTGGTTAATGAATAATGGGGAAACATTTCTGCAGTTTTTTTCTGCTTGTATCTAAAGTGTTAGAAACTTGGACCAAAATGTTCACAGATGAACTTTGTAGAACAGCTGTGAGGATTTTACACACAACTCAACACATGGAAGACCCTTCCCCTTGAGAAAGGAGTAGGAGTGTGGCTGTATGCCTCTGAGGCCAGAGTCTCCCTGAGGATGGCCTAAGTCCTCCAGGTGCAATAGCGCACAAACTCTCTGAGGTTCCAGAAGCCACAGTTCTCTTCCCAGTGGCTCAGTGTGGCATCAGAGCAAACTCTGGCTTACCTGGCAGTGTCCTAGGGTGGCAGGATGGAAGAAATGAGGAAAAACTTGGAGAAAGGTCCAAGAGGGTGAAGGTTACTAGGTTTGCCACAATAAACCAGTATTTTTATTGCCTGAGAATGGAACAAAGTTAAAGTACAGAGAGCCATGCACAGTAGCCACGCCTGCAGTGCCAGCAATTGAGGAGGCTGAGGTAGGGGGACCAAAGTTCAAGGCCAGGGGCTAGGGTGGTGGCTAAGTGGTAGAGCGCTTGCCTAGCTCCTGTAGGTCACTGGGTTCAAATCTCAGCACCGCATATAAATAAATGAAATAAAGGTCCATTGACACTAAAAAGTATTTAAAAAAAAAAAAAAGAAAGAAAAGAAAAAGAAAGTTCAAGGCTAGCCTGGGCCACTTAGTGAGACCCTGTGCCAAAATAAAAAAAGGCTGGGGATGTGACTCAGTGGTTAAGTGCCCCTGAATTTAATCCCCAGTACAAAAAAAAAAAACAAAAAACAAAACTGATTCTAAACAAAAGCTTAGACATTCAGATTAGTTTAGTTCCTGCAAAATGCTCATCCTGAGAGCACTGTGTGAACCCTTTTCTTAGTGCTAGTGTTGCTCAGAATAGCTTTTGAACTCCTGAAACCGCTTTCAGGACATGCAGTGTGTTTCTTATGACTAGTCCAATAATAGCAAGCTTTCGGTTGTTCCTCATTAAATTTTTGGAAAGGGCAGAAGGCCATTCTGAATGAAGTGAGTATGCTGGTGATTGAACTGTGTGCTGCTAATCACCAAAATTTCAAATCCACTGAACCATGGAACTAAGTAAAATAAATGTAAAACTTAAAGGCATTTTTTGAGAGACAAGTTTCATGTTTATGTACAGGTTTCTGCCTGTTGATGCAAAGTAAGACAGCTCATTAAAATACCATTTGCAGGGGCTGGGATTGTGGCTCAGCAGTAGAGCGCTTGCCTCGCACGTTTGAGACCCAGGTTTGATCCTCAGCACCACATTAAAAAATAAACAAGTGAAATAAAGGTATTGTGTCCAACTACAACTAAAAAAACCAAAAAACCATTTGCAACGTATTTGCTGAGATGATTAGTAGTTGGGGGTGGGGTAAGCCCCACGCCTCTCCAGGCTGCTGTCACTGCAACTCGGTAGTGTCTCTGCTGCAGTGCTGAGCAGTATGGTCAGTGTTGCTGTGTCTACTGCTCACCTCGCCTTGTTTTGTTTGTTTTTTTGGGGTGCTGGGGTTCAAATGCAGAGCCCCATGTGTGCTGGGCAAGGGCTCTGCCGACTGAGCTGCACACCAGCCCTCAAATGTTAGAGCAGTGGGGCTGAGTTCAGAACAGGGTGTGACTGCCCAAGGAGAGGAAGCCCCTTGACAAAGCAGTCAAGATTAGATGCAAAGACTACCAGAACTAGCCAGGATATACTTGGACATTCTTAGGTACAGATAAACAGCGCAGTCTGCCAGCCAGTTTCTCTTCATCCAGCTAACACTTACCATCGCCTGTGTCCAATTTGTCCAGTATCTCTCAGCGAATGGGTCAGACCAGTGTGACAAAGGCTCCTTTGTCACCTTCCTGCCCAGCAAGGGTGGGGGTGGAGGCCTGGAAACTCTTCTTAGCCTTGGGCAGAAGGATGTTGAATTCCTTGGCATAGGTCATTAGGAAGAGGGAAAACTGGAAAATGAAACCTGTGTGGGGGGAATTGGCCATTAAGGGAAGTAAAGTCACCCTGAAATGAAGACTCCTTAGAAGCTGTCTCATACAGTAATGTCTCACTCCCTGGGCCTCCTTGGGATGGTTCTACAGACTCATCTGTCATACAGTTGTGTATTATTAATGCCATACCAAAGCCAACTAAAAGCCTACCATTTTTCCAGAATTTTCTAAACTAACTTCAGCTCTATCTTTGCTCTGGATTAGCCCAAGAGGCTACACCAGGGGAGATTTTTTGGGGACCACACAGTGTCACACAGTAGAGGGTCAGGAAGTGCTCTGATTGTTTCTAGGGTCACAGCAGCCTATGGAGGAGATGTGGGGTCACCAGTATTTCATCCAGCCACCTACTCAGCCATCATTGGCCTGGTACCTCAAGAACCCTCTCCTACCGGCCTGGGAATTGGCTACTGGAAGAGGGCAATAGTCCTCACCCCAGACAGGGGTTCTGAGGAAGCGTGGAGAGTCCCTGGAGGGATTCTGATGCACAGGTGGATGTGGGACGTCATCCCGGCAGACCACGGGGTTCTCGTGCTCAGAAAGGCCAAGCCCACCATGGCTTGATCAGCCTTGGCAAAAGGCAGCAGCCCACATTCATCACTGGTGGGACTTCCCTTCCAGTGTCTTTCGGGGCTATATTTCCTCCTGTAGTCTTTGCAGGAATCTGTACATCTCAGGGAAAGAAGGGACTGGCTGACAGGAGGTTTTTGAGAGGCACCAAGACTTCCCTGTTCCCTCAAGCCCTGAAAGAAAAGAGATCAAGCTGAGCATGGTGGCATATACATATCATCCCAGCAAATCTGGAGGCTGAGGCTGGAGGATCGAAAGCTTGAGGCCCACTTCAGCAATTTAGAGGATACCCTGTCTCAAAATAAAAAGTGCCAGGGATGTATCTCAGTGGTTAAACACCCTGGGTTCAAGCCCTGGTAGCAAATCAAACAAAAAGAGATCAAAATCCTTTCTGTTAACCACAGCTAAATAGCAGGACAGGTTTCTCTTGACATTCATTGGTCTGAATCTCTGGGAGAGTGCCAGCAAGTTTCAGGTATCCTTGGCCACCAGCAGCTGCCTCCAGTACCACTGCAAGGGCTGTCACCACATGGAAGATCCAGGTAAAGGAGAGTGGGTTAACTGTGCTGTGGGTTCAAGTAACCACAAGAGGACCCAGGGCTGATTCCACCTTGTACAAAGAACAGTTGCCTTGCTTTTCCCTGCATTTGTGGGTGCCGTCACAAGCCGGGTGGTGACAAGATCCCTTTGGCAACATCTTGGCAGCCCAAGTTATGTCACTGAAGTTGAGATCCTTCCTAGGGTTTAATACGCATTTTAACCGTTCCAGAGATGTGAACACAGCTGTGATGGAGTTGCTGATCATGGCTTATGCCTTGAAGACGGCCTGTGCCAGGAACATCATCGGCGTCATCCCCTACTTCCCCTACAGCAAACAGAGCAAGATGCGGAAGAGGGGGTCCATCGTGTGCAAGCTGCTGGCATCCATGCTGGCCAAAGCAGGTGAGCGCACAGGGACACTGGTGGAGGGTCTCGGGCTCTGCTGTTGGGCTGCAGCCTGCCTCGGGCATCTAGTCTGGGCCTGCTTCTTTATGCGGTGTTTGCTGGTTACTCTGTTGCTCCTGTTGCTTGGGTGGGCTGGGGATCTGTGAGGCAGGGCAGCTCCCACCTTCCTCTCTGTTGCCTTTGGGATCTGCTCGCTCCTGCTTTCTCTGACCTTGGGCTGGGCTTTATGGTTCTGTCACTTCTATTTTCAAGTGAAAACTGGCTGGCTTGGCATTCTTGTACAGTCTTTTGAACTTTGGGTCTAGATGTGTGTATTTGCCTTAGTTAGCCATGTTCCTTTTATGTTCACAGAATTAAGACACTATTTTTCTTTTATTACTTCTTTAGTTTATATACTCTTTCCCTCCTCTCATCTCCAGTTGCCTTTGTGTACAGCACCCCATTTCTATTGCTTTTATTTTTCTTATGTAGTAGTGGCATACTTTCTGACCTATAATCAAATGTAATAAAATATTAAACTTATTGAATTTTTATTTGTCTGACATTTATTTAAAATACTGGTTCCTTGCTGGTTATGGTGGCACATACCTGTAATCCCAGCTCCTTGGGAGGCTGAGGCAGGAGGATTTCAACTTCAAGGCCAGTCTGGGCAACTTAGTAAAACCCAACTCAGAGGGGGAAAAAAAAGTGGGGGCATGGTTGGAGGATTACCTAGCTTGTATGAGGCCCTTGTATGAGGGTTCCATTTCCAGTACTATTCAAATATATATATATGTGTGTGTGTGTGTGTGTATGTGAGATATATATATATATATATATATATATATATATATATATATATATTCATTCTTCACTCTGGAGGTTTTGCATTGACCTTTGACCATTCTCAGTGTCTTTACATGTATCCTTTTCTGTTCAGCACTGCTGATTATTCTGAGTATGTTTTCATTGTTTTTCTATAAAATACTTCTTAAGCCGTTATTTTATCACATATAGAAATTATCTCATCCTTTAGCATTTTATCCTTGTGATGTATGAATTTCTTTTCTTCCTGTGTGCATTCCTTTGCATTGCTTTCTTGTTCCTTTCTGCTGAGGCCACAGTCCTTTAATAAAGGCCTGTCTGTTTCTTGCATCTGTTATTACCTGGATATTTATTAATTCATGTTTGTATTTTTGCTTCCACCCGGTTTCCCCTCACTGGTCAGGACCAAGCTAGTGGTCAGAGTGGAAGGAGCACACTTGTCAGCCTAGCTGTGTCCTATGGTGGGGCGCAGGCTCTTTGGCATTAGGTTGGACAGCTCCTCAGCTCCTTAGGTCTTACAGCAAGTCTGTAACTGCAGCACTGGCTCACAGTGTCTCCTGCCTTCAGCCTCCTGGTGGGAAACAGGAGTTGATCTGCCCACTGAGGCCATTAACTTGTAGGGGAGAACTTTGTAATTTTTTGTTTTAAAATTTCAGGTTTAACTCACATTATCACTATGGATCTTCACCAAAAGGAAATACAAGGCTTTTTCAGCTTTCCCGTGGACAACCTTAGAGCCTCACCTTTCCTGCTTCAGTATATCCAGGAAGAAGTGAGGAGCCACCAGCAAACACCCCTTTGTCCTCAAAGAGATCCTATTTAGTTTTTCTCTGGCACCAGATTTCATGATTGAAAGGCACATGTGATGCTCCCTTCTCAGACTTACTGCCCGTGGCAGCCGGATAGCCTCAGATTCAGCATTTAGTGGTGCAGGACCATATTTTTGAAAGACATTATAGCGAATTTCCTATTAAGTACCTTTAGCAATCACTTACACTTTCTAGAATGAAGGTTTTTTAAAATATTGTTTACCTTCTTGATCTAGCAGTACCTTTGCAATGAAGTTAATTGATAAACAATGAAAAATTTAAATGTGTAAATGAAATTCTGGCATATTTGGTTGCTAGTTTGGGTCATTGATGAGAGGAAGAAGTGTTATCCAACATCTAGGGGTTTTTTGATGACATTTCAGTATTTTCTATTTTTCCTCCAAATCTAGATACCAAATTACAGAAATGCCGTCATTGTAGCTAAGTCTCCTGATGCTGCAAAAAGGTAAATGAATCCTATATTTATTTAAAACAAACAAACAAACTCTTGAGAGTTGGGCACGATGACATGCACCTGTAGTCCTAGCACTTGGGAGACTGAGACGGGAGGACCCCTTGAGTCTAGGAGTTTAAGGCCAGCCTGGGCAGCACAGCAAGACCTTGTCTCCAAAAAGAAAAAGGTGAGAAGTCCTTTTGGGTGCTCTGAGATCAGAATTAGCTGTTTTGGAACACACAGCTCCCATGGCCAGCAAGCTCCCCGGCTCAAGCTCCCCTGGCCTTGGCCTCCAGGCCACAAAGGAAGGTGCCTCTGAGTTCCTGGGTTTTTCTCTAAGATGGAGTTCTCTAAGTTCTCAGAAGGAGAAGAGTGGGACTGTGGGGTTTTTCAGGCAGTGGTTTTTAAGACACCATTTTAAAGAGAGTTCATTCTCCTGAAAATGACTATTAGAATATTGGACGAAACAAAGAAAATAAGCCAAGAAGAAAAATACATCATAAAAAATATTGGGGGCTGGGGTTGTAGCTCTGTGGTAGAAAGTTTGCCTAGCGTGCGTGAGGCACTGTGTTCAATCCCAGGCATCACATGAAAATAAGACAAATAAAGGTATTTTAAAAAGAGTATATTAAAAAAAAAAATTGGACTAAGGATAGAACCAATATTATCTAGATTCAGCTACTGGCCCAGAACCCAGTTCCTGTGCCCTGAAAGCATTTGTACCTGGCCTGCTGTGTATAATTCCTTTGTTCCTGAAAGTGGAGTGGTAGAGTGATGCTTCTTCCCCTTGGTGCTCTTTTCCCTTTGTCTTCTCTTAGGGCCCAGTCATATGCTGAGAGACTGCGTCTGGGCTTAGCTGTGATCCATGGAGAAGCCCAGTGCACAGAGCTGGACATGGATGATGGCCGTCATTCTCCCCCAATGGTCAAAAATGCTACCGTACATCCGGGCCTGGAGTTGCCGTGTAAGATTAGCTCTATACTTTTATTTATAAATTGGAGAAATTTCTAATGGCTAATATGAATGGCTAGGTGTTAACCCCTGTGTCTGCTGTGCATGGTCTCTTGCTATTTTAAAATAATTGAATGGGCCAGGTGTGGTGGTGCTTACCTGTAATCCCAGTGACCCAGGAGGCTGAAGCAGGAGGATCATAAGTTCAAGGCCAGCCTAGGCAACTTAGCAAGACCATGTCTCAAAATAGAATATTTAAAAGGGGAGGGGGGGTCATTGGGGATATAGCTCAGTTGGTAGAGTGCTTGCCTTTCATGCACAAGGCCCTGGGTTCAGTCACCAGCACCACAAAAAAAAAAAGGACTGGAGCTATATAGCTCAGCACTCTTGGGTTCAATCCCCAGTACCCCCACAAAAAAAATAAAAAAATAAAAAGGCCTGGGGATGCAGCTCAGGGGTAGAGCACCCCTGGATTCAGGCACGGTACCACAAAATAATCACTGTTATCATATATTTATTACATATTTTATATTATTGAATAGCAGTGCCACGATTTCCCCTTTTGTAGGAGGTTGCATGTGTTATACACATTTGCAGACTGTGTAAGGACAATTAAGCTGATCTGGGTAGCATTCAGCGTTAAATAATTTTAGCTTTAGAAAACAGAGTTGTGTGTAATGGTGTCACATCTGAAACTTTATGTTCAGTAAAATGGGTGATAATAGCCATTAGTCAGATACCGGGTATTAGCCACCAGGTAACTCTGAGCACTTATGTTAGAATGTAGTTCTCTGACCTGATGCCAAGTAATTTCTCTTACTCATCTAACAGTGTAGAAGCTGTTTACTTCCATGGACTTTGGCACTGAGTGCATGCATATGTTATGTGTGTGTGTGTGTGTAGATACATTTAGAGTTTTCAGAGGAAGCAGGTAGTTTCTTTCTAGATCTATTTGCCACGCCTCAGAAGCACGCAGTGGTTGGTGGGATAGAGGCGCTATGGGGCGGGGCCTCAGGTGGTTTGTTAGAGGCAGGCTCCTATCTCAGTGGAGCATTCTAACCTTTACTCCTGCTAACTTTGACATTGCTTCGTTTTAAACTTGGAAGGTTTTTACATAAGAGTAATATACTTTGTTTAACTTTAATATTTGATATCAGTATGTTATTTTTTGAGGATTTCATAATTAAAATTTTTGAATAGATAATACATTCACATGTTACAAAATTCAAAAAGTATAAAATTCTTCACAGTGTGAAGTATTCCCCACCCACAAGTTCTCTTCTCCTAGCTCCTTGGATATCTAGTACCTTGGTTTTCTGTGTCAGGGCAGAGACTTTTTGCACTTATTAGCAAATACATATTTCTTTTTCTCTCATTTCTACACAAATAATAGTGTGTTGTACACCTCATTTTGCCTCTTGCTTTTCTCATTCAGTTTCTCTTTCCCTGTCAGCATGTACAGTGGAAGGCATCTCAGTCTCTTGCAGTTCCATAGTGTTCCATAGTATGGATATCTCATAATACGTTGAAAGGCATGTAGATTTTTTTAAGTCTTTGAAAAACAAGGCTCCAGTTACTGTGAGCATCTGTTGGACCCCTGCTGCAGACCAAGAGCTGTGCTAAGCTCCACAGCTATCCCTGCAGGGACTTGTCTTCATCCTTCTGCAGACCAGGAAGCAGTCACATGGCCAGGACCAGCTGTGGGATGAGGCAGCTGGCTTCATGGGCCACATTTGCTTGTTTTTAGCTATTTGTTTTTAGTTGTAGTTGGACACAATACCTTTATTTTATTTATTTTTATGTGGTGCCAAGGATCGAATCCAGGGCCTCACACATTTGAGGCAAGTGCTCCACCGCTGAGCCACAACCCGAGCCTCTTGTTTTTAGCTTTTTATTTCAGACATGGAAGAAAGGTAAAGAATTCAGATGTTCACCGTGCTCTCAGAGTCCCACACTTCACATTTCTACACATGTTTTTGTGCCATTTAAGAATGAGTTGCGGACGTAATGTTCCTTTATTGCTAAAGACTTCAGTATATATTTCCTAAATACTAAAGGCTCCGTTTCATAACCACAGTATAATTCTCAACTCAGGAAATGAACGCTGTTACAGTACTATTGTCTAATCCACAGGCTTTATTCAGGTTTCAACAATGTCCTTTTAAACAAAAACAGGGAAAAAAAGAACTTTTGGGGGGCCAGGACCTAATCCAGGGTTGCACATGGCATTCAGTTGTCATTTCTCCTTAGCCTCAATCTGGAATGGCTCCTCCGTTCTTTGTCCCTTGTGATCTTGATGCTTTTGAACAGCACAGGCCAGTTATTTTGTAGGCTGCCCCTTAATTGGGCCATTTGTGTGCTCATGCCGAGATTCAAGTTGTGTGGTTTTGGCAGGAATGTCAGGAAGCACGTGATGATCCATTGCTGGAGAGTTGATTTTGGTCATTTGATTAAGCCAGGTTTTCCCCTGGATGGCTGCTCTTTCTTCTCTTTGTAGTTAGTGGTGTCATAGGTTAAGATCTTGTAAACATCCTGTTTCCCGTTTATCCTCAAACTTAGCATCCAGTGAAGATTCTCACCTGAATCCATTATACTGTGATTATTGACAAGTGGTCTTTTCAAATTTTTAAGTATTTATTTTTTGAGATAGTGTCTGTTGCCCAGGCTGGTCTCCATCTTCTGGCTCAGGAGATCCTCTCTCTGCAGTCTTCTGTGTAGCTGGGCCCACAGGACCAGTGGTCCTGTTCCAAGTTCATTGTTCCTTCCACGTTTATCTGCTGGCATCCTAGTGTGGGCTTTCCTTTCTTCCCTGTTCATTCATTTATTTGGAATGTGTGGGCTCATAGAATCCTCTTTAATTCAGTGGGTTATACTGTAATTTCTCTCCATGCTCAGAGTATCTTGGACTTGACCAAGGCGAACTCTTCAAGCTCCTCCTTTTAACAATTCATTGTTTTTCGATACTTTATTTCCTGGTATAACTGGATGCTCCATGTTCTTTTTTTTGGTATCAGGGATTGAACTAAGGGCCATTCTACCACTGAGCCACATTCCCAGCCCTATTTTGTATTTTATTTAGAGACTGAGTTGCTTAAAACCTCTTTTTGTTTGTTTGTTTGTTTTTTTAAAGAGAGAGAGAGAGAGAGAGAATTTTAATATTTATTTTTTAGTTATCGGCGGATACAACATCTTTGTTTGTATGTGGTGCTGAGGATGGAACCCAGGCCGCACACATGCCAGGCGAGCGCGCTACCACTTGAGCCACATCCCCAGCCTTCGTTTTTTTTTTTTTTTTAAATATTTATTTTGTAGTTATAGGTGGACACAATATATTTATTTTATATTTATGTGGTGCTGAGGATCAAACCCGGTGCCTCCTGCATGGTAGGTGAGCACTCTACCTCTGAGCCACAACCCCAGCCCAAACACCTGGTTTTTTGCTGAGGTTGGCTTTGAATTCATGATCTTTTGCCTCAGCCTTCCGAGCCACTGGGATTATCTGTGTGCACCACCGTGCCAGCCCACTCCATGTTCTTGTACCTTCTTAGCCCTGGAATCAGCCACTTCTCCAGGGATCTCCAGTTGCTTTGGTGGAGAAGGTGTTTAGAAGCGGCCTTGGGTTCTGTGTATACAAGTTCAGTTGCCAGGCACCGCGGCCCGTGACTCCCCTGGTCTTAGGTCCATCATGAGTGATTGAGAATCATTCAGGGTAGCATCAAGAAGCAAAACAGCTGGGTTTGAGATGTTTGGATGGATGTCACTGTATTGCCAGGGTGTGTTACATGGTGAGCATCCGTTGGACCCCTGTTCTAAGAATGTTGCTTTGTTAGGTTTGCTGTTGCCGGCATGTTCCCTTCCTGGTCCTCTTCATGAACTGTGGAAACATTTTAGAAGAGTGCCTCCCTTCAGGGGGCGCTGGCATGCTTTCCCTGTAACTCGCACAGTTGCTGCAGGGCTATCTCCTGTGATTCCCCACTCACATAGTCCTTGCCAAGAGAATTCTGAAAAACCGATTTATTTATTTGTGCTAGGGATTGAATCCAGGGCCTTGCACATGCTAGGCAAACTCTCCACCACCAAACTATGTCTCCAGCCCTTTCTAAATCTTATTTTAAGACAAGTTTTTGCTAAGTTGATGAAGCTGACCTCAAACTTGTAATCTGCCTGCCTCAGCCTCCCAAGTAGCTGATATTATAGGCATGTGCCATTGCACCCTGCTTAAAACATTATTTCTTGTACGTGTAATTGTGCCTTCCAAATTCAATGTACTTTATGCCTCAGTGGTTCACTTATTAAGATACTGGAATGTTATGCCAAAGCCAGAGGAAAGCAAACACTTGCACTTGGGGTCTGCAGCTTTTAGGGAGATGTTTTAATTATGTTTCTCAAACTTGTTCATTAGAGCAGTAACTCTCAACCAGGGTCAATTTTGTCCCCAGAGGATGTTTTGCAATATTAGAAGCAGATTCCGTCTGTCACAGCAGGGGAGGTAGGGCACTGCTGCGTCCCCCTACCCCAAGTCTTTAGCCCAGAATGTCTACAGTGCCAAGGTCAAGAAGCCCTGTTTCAGCAAAGTGATTTATTAAAAGTTAAGTTGTGAATGAAGGAGTGGGACCTTGAAGCTCTTCCATTTTACAAAATAGACTTTCTGCCTCCCTGAGGATGGACAGGGAACAAGTTTGGAAAGATTGTAAGTTATATGTCAGTGCCTCTGCTAGAGATGGCTGGTGCTTTGCCACAGTGGTGGAAACTAGGAGTTTGAGCCAGGCACAGTGGTGCATGCCTGGCAGGAAGATCAAAAGTTCAAGGCGAGCCTTAGCAACTTAGCGAGACCCTGTCTCAGAATAAAAAGGACTGGGGATGTGGCTCAGTGGTTAAGAATCCCTGGATTCAGTCCCAAGTACAAAAAAAGAAGAAAAAAATTAGGTGTTTGGATAATAAAAAATGAGATGAAGTTACCTTTTATTGCTTGCTATTCCTGGGTTGTGGTGGTTGTTGTTATTTATTTATTTATTTATTTATTTTTAATTTTTTTTTTTAATACTTATTTATCAGTTTTCGGCAGACACAACATCTTTGTTTGTATGTGGTGCTGAGGATCGAACCCGGGCCGCACGCACGCCAGGCGAGCGCGCTACCGCTTGAGCCACATCCCCAGCCCCTTTATTTATTTTTTTAAATATTTTTTTTTAGTTATAGATGGACACAATATCTTTATTTATTTTTATGTGGTGCTGGGGATTGAACCCAGTGCCTCACACATGTGAGGTGGACACTCTACCACTGAGCTATAGCCCCAGCTTGTTGTTGTATTTTCTAGGGAAAGTTTTTCCTGAGTTTTTTTGTTTTTCTTTTATCCCAGGACTGGTGTCCCTGACCCACAGCAGGATATTTTGCAGTTGCCCGGGGCCAGGCTGAGAAGAGGTGCCCAGATTGTCAGCACTGGCCCTCAATCCTCCTTTGGTGTCCTGCTATGCTCACATGTTAGAGGCAGCATCTTTTTGCATCCAACTTAGTTTTTGCCTGCTAAGGCTTCTTATTATGTAAAGCAACTCCCAACTGCAAGATTGTACAATAATTCAGAAAACCATTCAAAGACCAGATTATTACAGTAAAACATCATCTTTTTTCTAGACACGTGTGCATCTATAGGTGGCTCATTCAGCCAAGATCGTTCCCAAGAAACAATCTATAGGATCAACACACTATTGCCTATGTCTTAAAGGGCCAGAAACAAATACAACCAAAAAACATAATGTTGGACAAATAGAGGATCCCCGAACCATGGCCGACAGATGGGAAACCTTTAAAACAGACCAGATAGGGGCAAAATCTCCCCCACCAAGTTCCCAACTCTCGCTTAACATGACTCCTACACCAATGGTATCACGGATGTCCCCATGAAGGGACCAGATGCTCCCACAAAAGGGAACCAGAAGTGTAGAATTAAGGGTCTCAGTGTGTATACTGGAGGAACTTACCAAATGGCCAAGGTGTCACCACTTCACTGCGTTCAATTTCCTTTTTCTCAAAGTAGACCAAAATGGAGCAACCCTGACAGTGCAGGGAAGGAAGGCCAGAGTTCCCCAAGGGGAGCAGCTGCTGGGAGTCCCTCAGTCCCTCCCTTTATTTACAGGAATAGCTTCCCGGGTTTGACTGGAGGCACACCTGCTGGTCTCTTCTAATCAGCTCTCAAAAAGTTGCCTTATATCCTCAGCATGGAAGTGCAGTTGCTTGGAGTGCTAGGCTGGTCCAAGAAAGTTGGAGTAGAGGTTGCTCCCTGGTCCCATCTGGGGTGCCAGAATTTGTAGCCTAAAGCTCAGTCCCTGTCTCCAATGCCAATTTAATAATGAGGACATGGTTTTGAGAAAAAGGAAAAAGAAGGCTTATTGCTTTGTTAGCAAAGGAGAAACACAGGGGCCTCCTATCCCAAAGGCTGTGACTCTCCCCCGTACTGAGGGACAGAGGTTTTTAAAGGAACTCTTCAAGGGTTACATTCCAATTCCAGGTGTGCTCTAGTAAGGGGTCCCAGGGCACTCTGTTTGCTTGTTGGGATTCACTTGTTGATTTGGGAGATATTCACTTCCTAGATCCTCAGCAGGCATCTCCTTCCTGTAGTGGATGTGCTAAAGGGCAATTAACTAGGGGAAGAAAAGATAACACTGTCTCCCTGATCTTTTTAGGGAGGAGGAAAAGGGGAGAAGAGAGGAAAATAAGTCTTGGGCTGGGGATGTGGCTCAAGCGGTAGCGCGCTCGCCTGGCATGCGTGGGGCATGCACGGGGCGCTGGGTTCAATCCTCAGCACCACATAAAAATAAAGATGTTGTGTCCACCGAAAACTAAAAAATAAATATTGAAAAAATTTCTCTCTCCCTCTTTAAAATAAATAAATAAGCCTTCCAGCGATGAGGGCTGTATTTAGAAGGTGAAGGGACCACTGTTAAACCCCAGTCTTGCTCCTCCAGGCAGGAGGGAAGTGGTGTGGATGAGCTGTGCCTTGGAGGAAGGGCTCCATCCTTTTGTAACTAAGGACTCCTATAAATGAAGCCATTGTTTTATTTGGAAAATGCTGATTTTAAAAGCGGAATGCAGTTTCCTACTCTTATTGTAAAAACGTTGGAAGCCTTTGAAGATGTTGTATCCTGGCTAACAGTTTCTGGCCTCAGTGATTTGGCATAGCTCAGTTTTATTCTGAAATAACTATTAAAATTTGTTAGTAAAACAGTGCTCAGTTTCAGCTCAGCCTTTTGCCGTAAGCTGTGCCTGTGGGTAAGGATCAGCTGGAATTGATTGTTAATCACTAAACTGTGTAATCACCCTGAATTGGGTTCTTTCCTCTCCTCCACTACTATTTTAATAAATATTTCAGAACAATAGAAAGCTTCCCTAAAGAGCAGAATACTCAGTTGTTCTTCTGTGACTTTCCGCACCCCCCTTCAGTTCCCTCACTTCCTCTTGAAGGTGATTCCATTTTTGTTTCTCTGTCCTGCGGTTGCCTTTTGTACACTCATGGCCTCTTCCAGATGCAGGTTCTGTAGTCGGATAAGATGGGGGGCTTGTAATGACTGTCTTGAGGTTCCTGATTTTCAGGAAAGTCATTGTGTGAGTGGTGCCAGTCACTTGATAAGGCTAAATGATCAAAACAAGGTGACACAGAAATCAAAGGCCGTTAAGCCGCCTTTCCACCTGGAGGCCTTTCCCTGGGTGTCCCACAGGGTGGCACTTACTGTGAGCACTGGATTCTTCTCAGTGATGCTGCTTCTCTGCGCGTGACATCTCACTCCTCTGCTCTCCAACTCTCCACTGTGCTATGCCCTATGTGGCCACAGTCACAGGCTGTGAGCTCTTGAGACCAGGCTAGTCTCAACTGAGAACTGGGTTTTATATTGATTATGTGTTGAAATGATAACATTTTGGATATACTGAGTAAAATAAAATTATTAGTTTCACCTGTTTTTACTTTTGATGAGGCTACTAGGAATTTTTAAGCTACATTGCAGGCTTGCCTTCTACTTCTGTGGGTCATCGCTGTTCTCAACTGTTTCTGAGACTCCAGGCTTGTGATGGGGGGAGTCTGCATGGGTGGTTGTCATCGTCATCTGTGCTCTGGTTTTTGCCCCACTCCCAGGGATGAGGTTGGGATTGCTTAGTTATCTAGCAACACATAACTAACAAGTCTTGTGATCTGTTTTGTTTTGCTAGTGATGATGGCCAAAGAGAAGCCGCCAATCACCGTAGTTGGGGATGTTGGAGGACGCATCGCTATTATAGTGGTACGGTGACTTGTGGCCGTCCTTGGTGCATGGGTGACACTGCTGGCACTCAGCCAGGAGGTGTCCTCTTCTGGGTTGTACTTCCAGCCCAGCGCTGGATTCAGTGGGTCTGTCCATCCTTTCTCACCCAACTCCTTTAGGAGAACTAGCAGCGGTAGTAGAACAGGGATTAGAACATGACCCTTAGGTGTAAAGGAGCATGGTTCCTCCTGCTCAGCACTGCAGCCTCACCTCGGGGGCCCAGTTCCCCCGGGGCAGCCGCCTCATCCTCCTTATACTTTGAGGCCATGTGATGAACTGGCAATGCGCTGTTCCGTTGTCACTGGTGAGAAGAGAGCCCCAGTTCCCCTGCACGCTGCATTCTGACATGTTGGCTCTTAGCTCCAAGTTTCTTTGCTGGCAAGAGGTTCACCTGTCATTACGGTAGCTCACTTTATTCTATTTTCCTGATGTGTCACTTTTTCCTGGAAGAAAAAAAAGTGGGACACTGGCTCTGTGGGATGAATCAGGAATTTGAAAACAGAGAAGGAGCCTTGGCAGTCCTCAGCTTGAGCTGACTGGAAGATTTCACCACTTTCTGCCAGTCGTGCGAGGTGCTGCTGAAGTGTTCCTCTTGCCATCTCTGACTCAGGCCCAGACTTGGAAACCCTCCAGAACCAACTGCAGAAAAGAGCAGGGAGCTGTGTGTCCATAGATGGGAGCAGAGGCCACTTCCTTATACTAACACTGTTCTCGCAGGATGACATTATTGATGATGTGGAGAGCTTTGTTGCTGCTGCAGAGATCCTGAAAGAGAGGGGCGCTTACAAGATCTATGTCATGGCCACACACGGCATCCTGTCTGCAGATGCCCCCCGCCTGATTGAGGAGTCCTCCATTGACGAGGTATGTCTATTTCTGAAGGACTAGGACAGGGTTGGAGTAGGACTCGGTGGTAGAGCTCTAGCCTGACATGCACGAGGCCCTGGGTCCCTCCCTGGCACCATGAAACTAGCTTGAGTCAAGATCTGCTGCTGTAGTTTCTGTGAATAAAAAGATGAGCCAATCAGTGTTAAGTTGCTTCATCCCTCTAGAGTACCTATGAAACAGTACTTTTTTGCTGACTAGCAGCCTTGTTGGGGTAGAAACATATTTAAGAATATATGCCTATTTGCATAAATGTTTGTTTCATTTTTTTAATATGATTTGACACTGAAATGGCATTTGAGACTTGAGTATGTCCCTGATAATAGGAAAGTTTTGCACAATGCTGGGGCTCCCTGTATAGAGACTGTGACATTCCCAGGGCCTGAGTCTTATTTTCTGATCCATGTAAGCTTTCCTTGTGGAAACTTGGTTAACTTTAGTTTGTAAAAACTGTACTGAGGGGGCTGGGATTGGCTCAGCGGCAGAGTGTTTGCCTCGCACATGTGAGGCACTGGGTTTGATCCTCAGCACCACATAAAATGGATAAATAAAATAATGGTATCGTGTCCATCTACAACTGAAAAAAAGTTAAAAACATGCTCAGTAGAATGAAGTTTTGTAGCTTAGAACTTGGCCTATGGGTACTGAATGCTAGATACTTTTCTAACCATTTTAGAGCACACACATTTGGTAACTTTATTTTCTGCTGCTGTATGACTAGGTGGTGGTGACAAACACTGTCCCTCATGAGGTCCAGAAGCTGCAGTGTCCCAAGATAAAGACTGTGGATATCAGTTTGATTCTTTCTGAAGCAATTCGGAGAATCCACAATGGAGAGTCCATGGCCTACCTTTTCCGAAACATCACAGTGGATGACTAGCTTTCATGGTGGCCCTGGCCCTGGAACTCCCAAGGAAAACATACCAAGCAGTGCCTGCAGCTGTGAACACAGTGTGTCCTTGCAGGGAGGACAGGACGTGGTGTGGAGTTAGCTAGTCTCTCCAAGATCTGTGGAAAAGGGGCCTTATGTAGTGGAGACGGAACTAGTAGATAACATAACACTGCCTTAAACGTGCAGTGTCAGCCCTATTCCGTAAGTGGATGACAGCCGCTCTCTGAGGAGTCTCCTTGATACTGAAGAGGAGTTCAAGGCGGATGAAGTCTTAGCTCTGTAGTGTTCCTTCAGTTGTCTCAGCTTTGGGGCGCAGTGTGACTTTGACCTTGGTCGGAAGCTGAGTCCCTGGCATCTTCTCTCTCCAGTTCTCTCCCTAGTCAAGTTTGCAGAAGCCTTTTTTAGAGAATCCTATCTTTTTTTCAGAATCTGCTGTGCCTGCTGCCCCTGAACAGTGGAGCACTGTGTCACTGCTCCTCTCCAGATGTTAGGTTTGAGAGGAGCAGCCTGCCCCTGGGTATCTGCGTTGCTAAGTTGCAAATAAAAGAATTTATTGTCTCACTGGTCTTGTCCCTGCTCTGCAGAGCTCCCTGTTTCCTGCCTGGGTGGTGACTCACTTCTGTCCCGACTGTTCAGATGACAGTGGATACAAAATGAGGGGTGTTGAGGGTCCAGAGCCTAGAGGTATCTCCCTCTACAGATTCCATCTCCTTCCTAAGCCTTGAAGTTGAATCCTTGTTAAAATCTAAACGAGAAATAGAATGAACTGTCTTTCCTTTGTGATAGATGATGCCCCATAGATTGTGTTCTTAGGACTGCCATGGCCCTGCTGCCCTGCCTTCTAAACTGCATCACTACTCCAAGTTCCTGTCACCTTTGTCAGGAGGCCTCATTGCAAGCTCCTACAGTTTGTCATGCCTTCAAGCTGCTCCAGCCCAGGACCTTGTCACAGGAAGGAGGACATGGCTGGGAAATGAGCTGGAATTGCTAATTGGCTCTGTGAGGCCTCAGGGAAGATTCTTTTATTTGTACAATTGTATTTCTCTGCAGGAAAGTTTCCTTGACTTTATCCCTTTCCTAATGACAAAGTCCCCAACCCACATTTACTTTTTTAAGCACAAATAAGTTCCCTTCTTTTGAGCAAAGGACAGTCATTAAAGTAATTAGCATGGAGGTAGGGAAGAGCCAGTGGGCTTCTGGGGGGAGACCTGGCTCTTACTAGTCAAGGGCAGGCAGATGATGGCCCCTTCCGGGCCTCTGCCTTCAGTTGTGAAACAGGAGACTTGGGGTTAAAAACTAAGGTCCTTTTTGAGTCAAATTCCACTTCTATCTCTAGTTAACATTTTTTTCTTTCCCTGTATCCAATGGTAGAGATTTCCAAATCTACTTATTTAGCAAAGGTAATTAGTAAAATAGATCATAGTTTCTAGAACTAGAAAATGCTACTCTGACCCTTGGTGTGTGTGTGTTAGTCAGGTTTTGTTGTTGTTTTGTTTTGGGTACTAGGGATTGAACCTGGGGGGCACTTAACCATTGAGCCACATCAGCCCTATTTTGTATTTTATTTAGAGACAGGGTCTCACTGAGTTGCTTAGTGCCTCACTGTTGCTGAGGCTGGCTTTGAACTTGCAATCCTCTTGTCTCAGCCTCCCAAGCAGCTGGGATTACAGGCATGCACCATCTTGCTCGACTGTTAGTTTTAATGTGCCTTAGCAAGATACTGAGAGTAGAGGTGTAGCTTGTGGTAGAGCACTTGCCTGACATGTAGGAGAGTTCAGGTTCAATCCCTACCACTAGAGAGAAAAAAGATACTAAGCCTCAGGGGCTTAACAGTGAGCTTTTGAGGACACTTCAATTCTGATTATAGCTAGTGTAATTGTATCTGTTAACATTCTGGAAAATTCCTGAAGTTGCCGATAAGCATGTGGACCTACTGGTCCCACTGTGCACCACAACCCCCGGTGCAGCCCACACTTGTTCCTAAGGCTTTAACTTTGTGATCTGGCCCTAAGTTTTCAAGGTAACAATGTAAATGTACAAAAGATTACAAAGAGATTCTTAGGTTTGTCAATCATTGGGGGCTGGGCTGTTCGCTAGATACTGGGAACATGGGGGTGCTGAAATTGTTCAAAAACTGTCAACCCAGACTAACTGCAAATTTGAGTTGGTACGGTTGAAGGATGTGGTGTACACACTGCCATAGGCTTCCTTTAGCCTTATTGCAGGTAAAATCTTGTCTTCTGGAAGAAACTGGCATGGGATTTGCATCAGATTTGCCTGGTCCTAATGAATTTGTGGTGCTGGCACTTGACCAGATGAAGCTGGTCTTGAGATGTTAAGCGGCAGAGAAAGTCTGCCACCTGGCGGATAACTGGAACCGCCTGAGCAGTGGGTAATTTCCAGGTCGCCTTTTGGTTTCACAAAATGGAACTGCCCCCCCAGGGCCAAAGCTCGGATTGCATCCTGTGGCCCTACCCTGTGCGGTGGAACGGGGATTGGTGGTACAAAGCGTGGTGCTACTATTCCCTTTAAATCTTTCGGGTTTTAACGATCCCTCAAGAACAAGTGGGGGGCTTTTCTAGGTTAGGGGGATGGACAGAGCCTAATTGAGCCTTAGGCCACCCCACACCCCGTCCCCAGACTTGGTGTCATACACATGGCTTGGCGCCGCCCACGCACCTTTCCTCGGAGCACTTACTGGGAATAAAAAATAGTGGTGTTTGGGGTGTGCGAATGCTGCCTTCCTGTGGGCTCCCCCTTGGGCTTGGGGGAGTCTGAGCAGCGCCCCCCCCCCCAGACTCGTCGGGCCTGTTCTTACACGGAACCCTCCGGCGCGTGGAGGGGGGGTGGGGCCGCGGAGAACCAGGCGCCCCGCGTTCCTAACGGCCGCCGCTGGCCTGGGCCAAGCGAGGGAGCCGAGCGGGCTGGAGCTTGGAGGCCGAGACCCGACAGGGAGGGCCGCCAGCCTCACCCCGCCCAGAGGCGGTGGGGCGCGGACTGTGGGAGGCCAGGTGCGCACCTTTGACTGCACTGCGGGGCGGCCCAGGCGCCTTGCAGGACCGAAAAGTCCCTGGAGGCGAGGCGAGCAGTGAGGGGACTCAGGTCGCCCACACCCACGTACCTGCGCCCCGCTCCCGTTAGGACGCACGATGCCACCCGCAATTCCAGCGACCAAGGTCTCCCTCCGGGAGTTGGCCGACCTGGCCATCGGCACCCCGGAGGTGGGCGCGGTCAACTTCACCGTCCTGCACACGCTCATCTTGGCCATACTCAAGAACCTCGGCATCCTAGAGACTCTTATCGACCTCCAGACCTTGTCCCCGGAGGCAGGCCGCTCACTTGAGTCCCTCCGGGGCTCCTTTGGCACTCAGTTCCCGCCCGGGTCCAAAGAGAAACGCAGAGGTATGAGCAGGTCCTTCTCCCTGGCGCTGGAGAACCAGGTGCAGGACCTCACCAAGCAGCTCAAGACCATGGACGGCAGGGTGGAGGACATCACCACCCACTTGCAGTTCATCACTTCCAAGGTCAGCGCACAACAGTTGGCCATCCCAGAGTGGCTGGAGGAGATGGACATGCCAACCTTGGACACAGCTCAGATAAGGTCTGGGAAGGTCCTGAAGGACACCGTGGGAGGCAGCACCCCCAAGGTCAGTGTGCAGACGTTGCAGACCCTCTGTCCCTCCAGACTGCCCTCAGCCTGTGGGAGCTAAGCCCCTGAGCTGCCACAGAGAGGGAGAGGGCCAATCCAGGGTCACCAGGCCTGGGTGCAGCTTGGTCCCACCAGGCCCATGCTCTTCCTTGCAGGTCATGCGCGTGCTCCAGGACGTGGTGGAAGATGTGAAGAACCTGAAAGAAGCCTACAAAATGGTGTCTCTGGAGTTTAGGCCTCAGGTGAATGTGCTTGGGGACTACACCTTAGAGCAGAGTGGCCTCTTCCCCAGTTCTTCCTCCCTTAGCCTTGTTTCCGGAGACCACCCACCCTTTATCAGGCACCCACAGTCTCTGGACTGACCCAGCAGGGACAACATCTCAACTATTCTTAGAGCCTATTTCCCTTGAATAAAGAACCATGGTGCACACATGTAATCCCAGTAACTCGGGAGACTGAGGCAGTTCAAAGCCAGCTGAACAATTTAGTGAGACAGAACGTCCCTGGGTTCCATCCCCAGTATTGCTAAATTAATTGATATTAAATAATCAGGTGGCAGGCATTGAAGACCAAAGGCCAGTGCACAGAAGGGGAGGTGGGAGGAGGAATTAGACAACAATGTCTTGGTTACAGACAGGAGCTGCAGCATGTGGGATCAGTTTCAGCTGGACTTCCAGGTTTCTGGAGGGTGAAGTATACGTAAATGCTTCAGCATAGCCTATATCTGATGCACGGTAGGAAACACCCAGCAATTCCGACAAAGGTGATAACAGATACATGCTCTTATTTCAAGGCATGTGTCAGGTTGTGGATAGTGGACCTGGAGAGAAGGAGGAGCAGTTAGGAAGAAAGCCTGGGGGAGACTGGAAGAGAAATGGGAAGGCCAGAAAGGCTGGAGGAAGCCAAGCCCCCAGGGCTGCCTGGCATCGCTGCCATCCTACACACCAGCACCCGCCCGGGGAGCCCAGCACACTCATCTTTGCTTTAAGAACTATCTGCTCTTCTTTCACATTTTTGATTGGTACATTATGGTTGTACATAATGGGGTTTGCTGTTATATACTCATACATGCACACAATGTAACAATATAATTTGGCCAATTTCCCCATTATTTCCCCTTTCCCTCCCCTCCTTCCTCTCTCTCTGCTTTTTAAACTTTCAAATCCAGTGTGTTTGTTTCTTTTTGTTTTGATCCTGGAGGTGGCACGAGTTATATGGTGCAACTTACGCTTTAGCAGTTGGCTTGGATTCTCTTGAGGATTCTTCTCAGCCAGCATACGCCGCCGAGGTTTCTGGTCCTTGCTCCTTGTGAGGCAAGGTGGACCTCTTGCTGCAGTGCTGGAAGGCTTTGATAGAGGGTCACATGAGATGAACCAGGATCAATGGTTCCCTCCCCTGCACTGGCACTAACTCTTGGCATGATGTCTCACAGTACCACCCTCAGTGCTGTCTACTTCCCTTCCTCTGTTGGTTGGGGAAAGACCTGGAAGCTTGGCCTTACTGACCAGGCAAAAAATCAGGTAGAAACTAGAAACCCTCTTTTGTCCTAAGAGCCACACACACCTCCTTCCCTCTTTTCCCTCATTCCGAGTCACTGTGAGTGTGTGTGAGTGTGTCTGTGTGTGCATGTGTGTGCACACACATAGGGATGCCAGGAGTTCAGGGGTGCTCCTTCTCTGAACTCTATCTCCAGGAAGTCCTCCACCGAATTGAAGACCTTGAGAAGCAAATCAAAGATCAAGATGAAGTCCTGGTAATATGAGCGAGCTCTGGGGAAAAGGCTCTCTGGGCTGGGGGGCTGTCCTCAGCCTGGCTTCACTCTAGGACTGGGCCCCACTCCCCCAGAGCAGGGTGGTGCCCCTGGATTGAGGGGGAAATCCTTTCCATCCCTGACCATCAATTGGGAACTCACAAGGGACAAAGAACTGGCTGCCCAAGACTGGTTGGTCACTTGAAGGATGGTGAATTCTTCCTGGGGCTAGGGCTGTGGATGAACCCCACACATCCTGTTCCTAAGCAGTCCGTCCTACGATTAAACCTGGGGTAATGTGTGTAAGTGTACTGTTGTTATTGTCAGGAACAAATAAACTGGACACTGGGTTCAGTTCCTGGTGCAGAAGAAGCCACCATGGTCACCTGGGAAGAGCTGGAGCAAGCCATCGCTGAGGGCTGGAAAGGCTCACAAATGGTGAAAAACTGGGGTCCCTGGTGGTGGTCTTGGGTGTGGCTTCCCAGAATCTCTCTTTGTACCAAGAATGGGACTCTGCCGTGTGCATGTCTATCCTTTATTTCACAAGTTCCATATTATAGACAAATATTTTCCCCAATTTTATAAGGAGTGCTCCCAGGTGACATGTGTGAAGAGCGTAAATTCCTAGAAATGGAAATGTGCCTTTGAGTTTGGCTGGCTATTGCCAGATTGTCTTCCATGGGTGTTGTTCCAGCCTAGATTCCCACAAGCGGCATAGGAGAGAACTTATTTCATGACACCCCCACCCCCACCCCATGTGTCAGTCCTCGATGTTTGGAACTTTGCCAATGGGTTAGGTGGAAACAGTATCCACCTGATTGTTTTCATAGCTTTTGTAGTTTTTTGAGCTGTCCTGAAATGCACAAGTCCCTTCACTGTTCATGGAACAGGGTGACCAACCCTGGAAATAATACCCTTGCAGGAGGCCCCTTGCTGATGGTGACTTCTGCATATGGGCATGTGGCCATCTGTTCTGGTTCTATGCACGGGAAGACCAAATCATTTTCAAACCCTCAACCTTTCTTCACCTGGATATTTTCAAACAGCCCCCGCAGACCAGGATCAGCTACTCCTTTGGTCTCCATGCTCTCTGTCCCCCAACTCTGCAAGTGGTCTCCTCAAACCAGATCCCCTGAGGTACCCACAGAAGTGAGTGAAGCAGGAGCCTTTTGGCGCCTCCCAGTGGCCACCTAGGGAATACCAAATACCATCTGGATGCCCCAGGCATCCTGCCAATCTCCAAGACTGTTTTCTGAGTTCCTTGCCCATCCAAAGAGGAAACAGCTTCAGAAAGAGTTGCCAGAGGGAGCTGAGAATGTGGCTCTGTTGTGGAGCAGTTTCCTGGTATGCATGAGGTCCTGGGTTTTATCCCCAGCACCAAAAAAAAAAAAAAAAAAAAAAAAGTAAATGGAGTTCCTTGGGAAAAGGTGGCTTTTTAAAAATTTTTTTACTTTAAAGAAACTGTCTCAAAAATTTAAAAAGGACCAGAAATGTAGCCCAGTAGTAGAGCCCCTGGGCTCAATCCCCAGTACCACAAAGAAATAAAGTTGAAGCTTTATCACACGGGTACCACTACCATGTTGCTTTAGCAAGCAACACATTTCCTCAGGGTAACAGCAGAGGTCACCCCCAAGACTTAAACATAATTATACACCTTCAGAGATTTTTACTTTTTCAGAGACAAGGAAACATCCATTTTTGTCTTTTGTTTTGTTACTACTGATTGAACCTAAGGGCACTTAACCACTGATCCACATCTCCAATACCACTCCCCACCCCTTTTTTTGAGACAGAGTCTCACTAAATTGCTGAGGCTTGAACTTGTGATCCTCCTGCCTCAGCATCTTGAGTTGCTGGGATCACAGGCATGTCCCACTGTACCCAGCCAAGAATATATTGTAATGGCAGCTGGGCAGTTCTTCATGACTTCGTGTACCACAGGATGATGGTGATGATAAGGTGATGCTCCTCCTCCACTTCCTACTTTTTTCTTCATGATAAGAAAGAATAAGAGTTACTGGGCTGGGTGTGGTGGTGCACACCTGTAATCCCAGCAACTTGGGAGGCCAAGGCAGAAGGATCACAATTTTGAGGCCAGCCTCAGCAATTTAGTGAGGACCTAAGCAATTTAGTGAGATCCTAGTGCTTCAGTGTCGCAGTTTCAATACCCAGTGACAAAAAAAAAAAAATCTTATTGAAACTAGGAAAATCCAACCCCAGAGCATAGTCGATACCTGCTTAATAAAGGTCTGAACGTATAGTCAGTGCAGAGCCCTTGCCTGGCATATGCAAGGCCCTGGATGTGACCCAGCACCACAAAACCAAATAAAACAACCTGTTTTTAAGATGAGACCAAGCTTCTTCAGTTTCCTGTAACCAAGACAATAAATCCAGATGACAGTGAGCTCAGTCCTGAGGGAGGGGTCATAATTGTTTGATCATCTTCCAGCCACCCTTTTACTAGGTCCAACGACCTGGAGCCAAGTGCTTCCTTGCAGAAATGGTATGCCCGAGGTAAGGATGTCTTGTCTATGAAGCTCTGGTGGCCTGACAGGCTGAATAAAGCAGAAAGCAAAAACAGGGAGTCATGTTCACAGCCTCTGTGAAGGACAAGGCCACAGTTTAACACCATGGACAAGTTTAAAATGGCCAGAAATGACATTGTTCTTTCTAATCATCTTGAGAAATCCAAAGTCCAAATTTCCCAGGTGCTTGAAGGCAAAAACTGGAAGGCAGGACAGACAAAGGTGGGCACTGGGGCTGGGTGGGACTTTGCCTTCCAGGACTTGCCAGATATGAGCTACTAGATTGTAAAGTAATATTTCCACGTTAACAGAGTCAAGATCTTGAGTAAAACCACCTATTATGTATTTTGAGAATATTGAGGATTTGGGAGCTTATAAATGGGTGTAGTTGGAAGTGTGATTCCTGAAGCAGGGAATTAGGTGAGGAAATGTTTACTTTGGACCGATGTTTCGAGTCAAATTGTATTTATCCTAAGTCCATTCTTCTCTGTCCACCTGCTGGGTTGGGATCAACATTTGGATATCTCCGGCTTTGGGACCCAAAGCCCAGTGGAGGAATTCAGAAAGGTGCTTCATAAAATTAACTTGATCTTAACTGGGCAAAATGAATACATCTGATGTCATGGCACCTCCCAGGAGAACAGAAATAAGAATTTTGTATTGTACTGCGGTCATGGAAATAGCAGGTTGTCGGGGCTGGAGTCTTTGTTAAAACAGTCAGGATGCAGCCCCAGTGTGGGAGGGACGGCTAGACACATTTAGGCTTGGGGAGCGTCACACATCCTAATTGCTCAGGAGCCCCCAGCCTAATAGGTGAACAGAGAAAGAGGGCTCTGTAGAAATGTATCTCGGTTCAGACCACACTACACCCACCGACTCTAAGATGAACATTGGTGGAACCAGGATGTGTCTTAAGAGTTGGTGGCATTTCATCATTAATTGGAACTGTTTTCTCTTTCCTGTTGGTACCTAAAATAATGGTGCTTTAAAAAATATTACCATCATAGACTTAGTGGAACAGAGATGGCAGGGAGAGATGAGCCTGGGTTAGAAGGTGAGACAGACAGCATTAATGTTCTAGGTGGAGGGTGCCTGCTGTCTCTGACTCTGCATCCTTGACGTGGAGTGCCAGGGGAAGGGACTGAACAGCAGAAGGTATTTCTGGTCTCCAGGATTCCTTTCTGGGAAGAGCCTGTACAGGTGTTGATTGTTCATTTGGATACTTAAAGGACAAGTCTCAAAGAGTGGTCTGCATTCGGTCATCAGCACTTGCCCCCAGTGTCCTCAGAAATGAAATGGTCTCATCTGATGCCCTTAATAAGAACTGAACCAGCTCTTCTAGGACCTCATTCCCCTCCCCCCCAATCTCTGCAGCTGTTGCACCCATTTTTCCAGGATTTCAAAGTGTTCTATAGAACCATGACTTTGGTTTTAGTCACTGGATGTGGGGCAGCTGACTAATAGCTCCAAGGATGTCTGTCATAATCCACAGAACCTGGACATGCCACCTGCCATGGCAAAGGGACTTTGCAGATGTGGTGAAGGGAAAGGTGTTGAGGGTAGGAGATTCTCCTGGTCATGAAGGGAGTCCAGTGATATCATCACCAGGGTCCTTATAAGAAGGAAGCAGAAGGAGATAGCCCTATAGGAGAGAAGGTGATATGGCCAAAGCCAAGGACCACTGGCAACTGTTAGAAGCTGAAAGAGGATTTTCCCCTGGAGCCTCTGGAAGGAACCAGCCCTATTGATCGGCACCTTGACTTTTGCTAGTCAAGTTGGACTTCTGACCCCCAGAATGATAACATTTTTATGTTGTTTTAAGCCACCAAGTTTGGGGGTCCTTTGTTACAGCAGCTGTAGGATACTCATACATACCTTATCCTCCAGAGGCAGTATATACAGTGTACCTGAATTTTTTGCTGCCATTTTCCTGCTATTTTTGTTTCTGAAATTTGGATGAAAACCTGGACACAGTCTGCCACACCTGCTTCTGGAGTGTTTTTCTGACACTGGTAATGTGTTGGGTGTCTCTGAAAGGTTTACTTTTGAAAGTCTTTCCATGCTGCCATTTCCTTTCTGCTTTATTTGCAGTGATTGGTTTGTAGCCTTTCTAAGGCCTTTTAGGTATTTTCTACACCCCCTTTCACTTCTTCTTTAATCCATGGTATATTTGGAAATCTGCATTTTTTTCTAAATATTTGAGGATTTTCCAAGGATATTTCTGTCACTGGTTTCTGATTTATGCACTTGAAATGTTTTAAAGTTATTATCTACCTTGGTGACCATTTTATGTGAACTTAAGGAGAAATATATCTTCTGCTGTTTGGGGTGAAATATTCTACAAATGTCAATCAGATCAAACAGGTTGATGGTGTTATTTAAGTCTTTTATATATATTAGGGTTAAACTGTCCTTTCAAAACAAATCTTGAGATCCTACATCCCAGGACCTGCAAACATGGCCATATTTGGAAATAGGAGCTTTGCAGATGATGAAGTTCAGATGAAGACATTACGGTGGACCCTAACCCAATATGACTATGTCTTTATAAAAGGGGAGATCTGGATAGAACAGTCATGTACCAAGGGAAGATGATGTGATGATAAGAGAAAGAAAGGCTGGAGGCTATAAGGCACTGGGAGAGAAGAGGAGACCTCCCTCACAGCCTCAGATGGAACTAGTCCTGCTCATTATTGCATTTCAGACTTTTAGACTCTAGAACTTCGAGACAAGAAATTTCTACTATTAAAGGTTATGGGACTTTGCTATGGTAACCCTACGAAACATGCAGTGTTCTTACCCGACTTTCCACCTACTTCTAACCAGGGGTATTGAAATCCCTGACTGGGGCTTCATCCACCACCTCCTGTAATTGGTGGCTCTATTAGGTGCACAAACATTTAGAACAAATGTCTTTCTTGGGGGGTGCGGGGGAGTACAGGGGATTGAATTCAGGAGCACTCGACCACTGAGCTAGGGTCTGAGTTGCTTAGCGCCTCATTAAATTGCTGAGGCTGGCTTCGAACTTGCAATCCTCCTGCCTCCACCTCCCGAGCCACTGGGATTACAGGTGTGTGCCACTACGCCCTGCCCAGATGTCTTTTTGATGGATTGATCTCTTTATATTAAGGAATTGCTTTTTTTTTTTTTTTTTTTTTTGGTGCTGGGGATGGAATCCAGGGCCAAGCATGCTAATAAGCACCTGCTCTACCACTGAACTACAGCCCTCTCGCCCACCTTCTTCTTTTTTAAAAAATTTATTTTTTAGTTATAGTTGGACACAATGCCTTTATTTTATTTATTTTTATATGGTGCTGGGGATTGAACCCAGGGCCTCGCACACAAGTGTTCTACCACTAAGCCACAACTCCAGCCCCAGTAATTACCTTCTAATACTAATAATAGTCTTAGCTTTGAAATCAGTTTTGTCTAATATTAATATTATGATTTCATTTTTTTATAACAAGTGGTTTTTAAAAGATTTTTTTGATCCATTTGTTTCTTTGTTCCTCTTTTCTGCCCCTTTTGAACTGAGTATTTTTCATTCCATTTTACCTTCTTTGTTGTCTGACTAGCTGTAACTTTAGGTTTATAGAATACATTTTTTGTGTGTGGTACTGGGGATCAAAGCCTTGTAATGTACATTTCTTTGTCTCTAGTAATAAATTTGTCTTAAAGCCTATTTTGTCTGATATTAGTATAGCCACTTTTTTGGCTACTATAATGCATCCCCCCTCCTTGTTTTTCTTTTGGTGCTGGGGATGGAACCCAGGGGTGCCTTACCACTGAGCCATACCCTCAGCCCTTTTCATTTTTTATTTTGAGACAGGATCTTGCTAAGTTTTTGAAGCTGGCCTCAAACTCCTCCTGCCTCAGCCTCCTGAGTCACTGGGATTACAGTGTGTGCCATGGTGTCCCAGCCTGTGGACAGCTTTTATTTCCCATGGGGGTGTCACCTGCTGCCTCCTTGCAGCCCTCTTCCCAGTGAGCACTCCACCACACTCTGCTTGGTTCTGCAGCGTACACCTCCTTTTCTCTGCTGTTTTAAGATTACCTCTACATCACTGCTTTGGTGTGCCATGGCATGTCATGGTCTTCTGTGCTTGAGTACATTGAGCTTCTTGTATCTCTGGGTTTATAGTTTTCATCAAGTTTGGGAAGTTTTGAACCATTCTTCAAATCTTTTTTTTCCTCTTCCGTCTCCCTCTTCTCCTTCAGGAATTCCAATTTGTGTGTGTGTGTGTGTGTGTGCGCGCGTGCGCACGCACACGCACACGCACACACACATTTACCTAATAGCTCACTGATGCTTTTTCATTTTGTAATTTTTATTTCTCATTTGGTTTCAGATAGTTTCTGTTGCTATATCTCCAGATATAGCAACAGAAACTATATTTTGGCAAACTTTTCTTCTGTGATGCCTAACCTGTAATTAATCTCATCCAGTTATTTTTCATCTCAGACTTTAATTCAATTCAGATTGTTTTTAAAATATCCTCCAGCTGGGCGCAGTGGTACACAACTGTAATCTCCAGTGACTTGGGAGTCTAAAGCAGGAGGATCATAAATTTGAGGCCAGCCTCAGCAGTTTAGCAAGCCCCTGTTTCAAAATATAAAATAAGATAAAATTTAAAAAAATTTAAATGGGCTGGGGCTGTAGCTCAATGGCAGAGCACTTGCCTAACATATGCAAGGTCCTGAGTTCAATCACTGGCACCACCAAAAATACAAAAAAATTTCCATGTCTCTACTTACCTTGTTGAACATAACAAATAATAGCTGTGTTCATTGTTTTAGTATCCTGTCCTGCTAATTCTAGCACCTGGGTCACTGTGGGGTGGTTTCAGTGGACTGAACCATCTCATTAAGGGTCATGTTCTTATGTCTGTTTACATGCCTGGTCATCTTTGATTGCTGGCTAGTCACTGTGAGTTTTCTTGGTGGGATGCTGAATAGTTTTATAATCCCTCACCATAATGCAGTTATTTGAAAATAGTTTGATCCTCTCAGCTCTTGTTTTAGATTTGTGAGGTGGGTCCGTAGCAGTGTTCGGTCTTGGGCGGACTGCTGTCTACCTCAGAGGCACCCCTTTTCTGAGAACACTGCCCTGTGCCCCTTGAATGATGAGTTTTTCCAAACTGGCTGGTCAAAGCAGGCACCTCCTCAGCCCCACAGACTCTGGGCCCTGTTCTCCTAGCTGTGCAAGGTTGGTTGGTACCCTCCTCACATGGATCCTTTCTGTGCTGGATGCATTTCTCTTCCTGCTGATACTCTGTCCTGTGGACTTGAGTTGCCTCCGTCTCTACTCCAGGAATCCTGTAGGCTCCATCCCAGCCTCCCCCCTGCACTGCAGCCACTCCATCCTTTCAGGAATTTTCTATTTCTTCATTACCTGTTACCCTTGTTTGAAAAACCACTATTTCATAGTTATTACTTTTCGATGTTTTAGTTTTGGCTGTTACAGATGAGAGGGTAAATTCAGTCTCTGTTACTCCCTCTTGGCTAAAAATGGAAATATTCCATCATTAATTTTGAGTGGGTTCATAGTATTTCACCACCTGGGTCTGCCCCAAGTATGGATAATCTATCCCATGAGCAGGGCTGCAGGCTCCGTTTTGTACATACCTCCTGGCATTCTGTGTGACAGTCCATAGAGAAAATCCCTTTCTGTGGAGTTCCAACCCAAGGCTTGGATCCTTTACAATTTGGTTTGCTCATCTCCAGTGTGCGCCTCTACCATCAGCAATGGGCCAATAATTGGGCAGACTTTAGATTTTAAATTTAACAAGTGACTTCCATCCTTTATTCGTGACTCAGTGAGAGCCTGGAGGATCACTTGTATTTGTAGTTTCCCATCTTTTATGAAGAAAATTGCATGTTAAGATGCCATTTACACAGGTGCAGTCTCAAAAACCTGATGACCTTTAAGAATGTTAAAGTCTTGGGGCTGTGGCTGTGGCTCAGTGGTAGAGCACTTGCCTTGAATGTGTGAGGCACTGGGTTCGATTATCAGCACCATATATAAATAAAAATTAAAGGTTTGTCAACAAGTAAAATAAATAAAATTTTAAAAAAAGAATGTTAAAGTCTTTATGTCCAACTTAGCTTTTAGGACCAGATAGATAGTTTTTCTCATTAAGGGCTTTAAGTCACCAGAGTTAGATATCCCAGATCTCCTTCCTTTTGACTCTTGCAGTATTTTTGACTTGAAGTTATTGACTTTCTTCTTCTAGGGCTTAGGCCAAATGGGACTTCCTAAGCACAGGGGGCCATCTGCTTTAACATTGAGTGATCGGGCTCCTAGTCTAGCCTCTGTGAAGCATCCAAGTTCTGACCAGGTTCGGGATTCCACTGGTGGCCTAGATCAGTCATCAGAATCCAGTGGATACCCCTCTGAAGATGCTGCCCTCAGGGAACGAAGCAGGGGTCCCTCTACTACTAGATTCCTTGCAAGGGCCCGTGATGAAGCTGGCATGTCAAAACCCCGCCAAGCTACATCCCAGTTAAAAGCAGAGCCAGAGCGCCGCAGAGGTAGAGAGACCGCAACACGTCCAAGAAGAGATGAACGAGATGCACTCCCTGGCCCATCGCAACAGGACTTACCCTCAGCCAGAGATCGGCATTATGCATTTCCAGATCAGCGCCGTGGGGCACGTGTCAGCCAAGACGAAGTCTATGCAAGGCCAGATCAGCAAAGCATGGGACTACCTGGCACAGTGTTGCCATATGCTAGCACTTATCCACATGGTGTGGTGCCGCTTCGTGAGAGTCAGCTTGGTGAGCCACCACCTGAAATATACTATCAGGGCTTGGTACAATTTGGCATGGATCAGCATGGTGTTGTGCCACCTTTAGTACCTGGCAGAGATCAACAAAGATTGGAACTACCTGGTATAGACCAAGTTGATAAGGCCTATCGGTATGGCATGATACTTCCTGGCACAGATCAACTCAGTATGGAACAGGCCGGCATACATGAGCGTGATATGGGACTACTTGGCATGGATCAGCAAGGACTGATACCCGCTGGCATGGGTCAGCAACAACTGGTACTGCCTGGAATAGATCAACAAGGATTGCTTCTACCTCTCACAGTTCAGTATGATTTGATATCACCTGGTTTGATGCAAGTTGGTAGAGATCAACAAGGTTTGCTACAGCCCACTTTGGAAGCACCTGGCTTCATACAACCTGGCACCAAGCAGTATGATTTTATCCAGCCTGAGAGAGATCAACCTGGCTTGGTGCAGCCTGGAATGGTTCATCCTGGTTTTGTGCAAACTGATTCAGGGCAGCGTGGTCTGGTGCAGCCTCGTGCAGATCAGGGTGGTTTGGTACCATCTGGGATAGACCAACAAGGTTTGGTGCAACTTGGCATAGGTCGGCGTGATTTGGTCTGGCCTGGTCCACATAGGCCTGGTTTGGCACCTCCTGGAACAGCTCAGCCTGGCTTTGTGCAACCTGGTGTATATCCACATGATCTGGTGCCACCTGGTGCAGGTCAGCTTGATGTGGTGCCACCTGGTACAGATCAACGTGGTGAAGTGCAACGTGCCAGAGATCAGCGTGGGTTAGTCCATCCTGGAGTAGATCAGTATGGTCTGGCACAACTAGGGGAACTGCCTAGTGATTGGGTGCAGCCTGGTGCATTTCCACCTGGGTTGGTGCAGCCTGCTGCAGAGCCATATCATTTGGTCCAACCCGATATAGGTCAGCATGGTTTGGCCCGGCCTGGCATAGATCTGCAAGGTTTGGTGCAGCCAGGAGTGGATCAGCATGGTTTGATATCACCTGATACAGTTCAGCATGATTTGGTGCAACCTGGGATGAGTCAGCGAGGCGTGGTGCCACCTGATATGGGTCATCATGGCATGCTGCCACCCCGCATGGGTCCACGTGGCCTGGTGCCACGTGGCATGGGTCAGCGTGGCTTGGTGCCACCCAGCGTGGGTCCACGTGGCTTGGTGCCATCCAGTGTGGATCAGCCTAGCATAGTGCCACCAGGTGCGGATCAGCCTGGCTTGGTGCCACCTGCCAAGGATCAGCATGGTATAGTGCCACCCGCCATGGAAAAGCCTGGCTTGGTGCCACCCAGTATGGTTCAGCGTGGCACGGTGCCACATGGTGTGGGTAAGCCTGGCATGGTGCCACCCAGCATGGATAAGCCTGGCATGGATCAGCTTGGCGTGGTGCCATCCAGTGTGGATCAGCCTGGCATGGTGCCATCTGACATGGATCAGCCTGGCATGGGTCAGCCTGGCTTGGTGCCACCTGCTAAGGATCAGCATGGTATAGTGCCACCTGCCATGGATAAGCCTGGCATGGGTCAGCCTGGCTTGGTGACACCTGCCAAGGATCAGCGTGGTATAGTGCCACCTGCCGTGGATAAGCCTGGCTTGGTGCCACCCAGTGTGGATCAGCGTGGCACGGTGCCACGTGAGATGGGTAAGCCTGGCATGGTGCCACCCGCCTTGGGTAAGCCTGGCATAGTGTCAACCACCCTGGGTAAGCCTAGCATGGTACCACCCAGCATGGACCAGCCTGGCATGGTGCCACCTGGTGTGGATCAGCGTGGCATGGTGCCACATGGCGTAGATCAGCGTGGCTTGGTGCCACCCTGCATGGATGAGCATGGCATGGTTCTACCGGGTGTGAATCAGCCTGGTTTGGTGCCACCCAGCATGGGTCAGCCTGGCTTGGTGCCACCTGGTGTGGATCAGCATGGCTTAATGGCACCTGGCGTGAAACAGCCTGGCTTGCTGTCACCTGGTGTGGATCAACATGACATGGTGCCCCCTGGTGTGTATCAGCATGGCATGGTGCCACCTGGCATGGATCAGCGTGGCTTTGTGCCACCCGGTGTGGATCAGCCTGGCTTGGTGTCACCTAGCATATATCAGCGTGGCATGGTGCCACCAGGAATGTATCAGCGTGGCATGGTGCCCCCCGGCATGGATCAGCATGGCATGGTGCCCCCTGGTGTGTATCAGCGTGGCATGGTGCCACCTAGCATGGATCAGCGTGGCTTTGTGCCACCCGTTGTGGATCAGGGTACTATAGTAGTACCACCTGGTATGGATCAGCCTGGCTTGGTGTCACCTAGCATGTATCAGCGTGGCATGGTGCCCCCTGGCATGCATCAGCGTGGCATGGTGCCCCCTGGTGTGTATCAGCATGGCATAGTGCCACCTGGTGTGGATCAGGGTGCTGCTGTACCACCTGGCATGTATCAGCATGGCATGGCACCACCTGGCATGGATCAGCGTGGCTTTGTGCCACCTGGTGTGGATCAGGGTGCTGTAGTACCACCCAGTGTGGATCAGGGTACTGTAGTAGTATCTCCTGACAAAGATCAACATGGCCTGGTGCCAGCTGGTGTGGATGAGCGTGGTTTGATGTCCCCTGGCATGGATCAGGGTGCTATAGTAACAACTGGCATGGATCAACGTGGCTTAGAGCCCCCTGGCATGGATCAGCATGCCACGATGCCCTCTGGCCTGGATCAGGGTGCTATAGTACCACCTGGCGTGGATCAGCATGGGTTAGTGTACCCTGGCATGGATCAGTATGGTTTTCTGTCACGTGGTATGAATCAGCGTGGGTTGGTGTCCCCTGGCATGGATCAGCATGGCTTGGTGCCACATGGTGTGGATCAGCGTGCTGTAGTACCACCTGTCATGGATCAGCGTGGGTTGGTGCCCCCTGGCATGGATCAGCATGGCTTGGTGCCACGTGGCGTGGATCAGCATGGCTCAGTGCCACGTGGCATGGATCGGCGTGCTGTAGTACCTCCAGGTGTGGATCAGCATGGCTTCGTAACACCTGGTGTGGATCAGCGTGGGTTGGTTCCTCCTGGCATGGATCAGCGTGCTGTAGCGCCACCAGGTGTGGATCAGCGTGGCTTGGTGCCACCTGGTGTGGATCCGCGTGCTGTAGCACCACCAGTTGTGGATCAGCGTGGCTTGGTGCCACCTGACATGGATCAGCGTGGGTTGGTGCCCACTGGTGTGGATCAGCGTGGTGTTGCACGACTAGGTGTGGAACAGCCTGGCTTGGCGCTACCTGGCATGGATCAGCGTGGGTTGGTGCCCACTAGTGTAGATCAGCGTGCTGTAGCGCCACCAGGTGTGGATCAGCGTGGCTTGGTGCCACGTGGCGTGGATCAGCGTGGGTTTGTGCCCACTGGTTTGGATCACCGTGCGGTAGCACCACCAGGTGTGGATCAGCGTGGCTTGGTGCCGCCTGGCATGGATCAGCGTGCTGTAGTGCTACTAGCTATGGATCACCTTGGCTTGGTGCCACCTGGCGTGGATCAGCGTGGGTTGGTGCCCACTGGAGTGGATCAGCGAGCTCTAGCGCCACCAGGTGTGGATCAGCGTGGCTTGGTGCCACCTGGCATGGATCAGCGTGGGTTGGTGCCCACTGGCGTGGATCAGCGTGCTGTAGTGCCAACAGGTGTGGATCAGCGTGCTATAGCGCCAACAGGTGTGGATCAGCGTGCTGAGGCGCCAACAGGTGTGTATCAGCGTGGCTTGGTAGCACCTGGCGTGGATCAGCATGGGTTGGTGCCCACCGGCGTAGATCAGCGTGCTGTAGCGCCAACAGGTGTGGATCAGCGTGCTGTAGTGCCACCAGGTGTGGATCAGCGTGGCTTGGTGCCACCTGCCGTGGATCAGCGTGGGTTGGTGCCCACTGGCGTCAATAAGTGTGCTGTAGCGCCAACAGGTGTGGATCAGCGTGCTGAGGCGCCAAAAGGTGTGTATCAGCGTGGCTCGGTGCCACCTGGCGTGGATCAGCATGGGTTGGTGCCAACTGGCATGGATCAGCGTGCTGTAGTGCCACCAGGTGTGGATCAGCGTGGCTTGGTGCCACCTGGTGTGGATCAGCGTGGGTTGGTGACCACTGGCGTGGGTCAGCGTGCTGTAGCACCACCAGGTGTGGATCAGCGTGCTGTAGCGCCACCAGGTGTGGATCAGCTTGGCTTGTTGCCACCTGGCTTGGATCAGCATGGGTTAGTGCCCACTGGCGTGGATCAGCGTGCTGTAGCGCCACCAGGTTTGGATCAGCGTGGCTTGGTGCCACCTGGTGTGGATCAACGTCGCTTGGTTCCACGTGGTGTGGATCAGCGTTCTGTAGTACCACCTGGCATGTATCCACGTGGGTTGGTGCCCCCTGGCATGGATCAGCGTGGTTTGGTGCCACGTGGCATGGATCAGCATGCGTTGGTGCCACGTGGCATAGATCAACATGCTGTAGTACCTCCTGGCATGTATCCACGTGGGTGGGTGCCCCCTGGCATGGATCAGCATGGTATATTACCACCTAGTGTGGATCAGCGTGCTGTATTACTACCACCTGGTGTGGATCAGCGTGGCATGGTGCCCCCTGGCATGGATCAGGGTGCTTTAGTACTATCTGGCATGGATCAACGTGGCTTGATACCCCCTGGCATGGATCAACGTGCTGTAGTACTATCTGGTGTGGATCAGCGTGGCTTGGTCCCACCTGGTGTGGATCAACGTGCGGTAGTACCACCTGGTGTTGGTCAGCGTGGCTTGGTGACACCTGGCGTGGATCAGGGTGCTGTAGTGCCTCCTGGTGTGGATCAGGGTGCTATAGTGCCACCTGGTGTGGATCAGGGTGCTGTAGCGCCCCCTGGAGAGGATAGGGGTGCTATAGCACCCCCTGGTGCAGATCAGGGTGCTGTAGCACCCCCTGGCATGAGTCAGGGTGCTCTAGCACCCCCTGTTGTGGATCAGCATGGCCTGGTACCACCTGGCGTGGGTCAGTGTGGTTTGGTGCAACCTGGGGTGGTTCAGCATGGCTTTGTGCCATATGGTATGGATCAACGTGGTTTGGTCCAGCTTGGTACAGGGCAGCCTGGAGTGGGTCAGCGTGTTTTGTTACAACCTAGTACAGGGCCACATGGCTTAGTTCAACCTGGTGCATACATGTCTGGCTTAGCTCAACCTGGTTTGGTCCAACCTGATGCTTATCTACCTGGTGTTTTCCAACCTGGTGCATATCCTGGCAGTTTGGCTCAAGCTGGTGCATATCCACATGGTGTGGTACAACCTGGAATGGATCAACGTGGTTTGAGACAACCCAGTGCTGATTGGCAAGGCTTGATGGCATCAGGCACAGAACCTCGTGGCTTTCCAACATTCCAGAGAGATCCTCAGGGTTTGACATCACTTCGCCCATATCCACCTGGTGTGGGACCTTCTGGCCGAAAGCCACGTGGCCAGGTGTCATCACTGTTACCCAGTCGAGGTTTGGCATCACCAATTATAGACCAGAGGGGTTTGGTACCACCAGAAACCTATCAGCAAAGTTTGATGCATCCTGGCCTAGAGCAGCGGGGCCAAGCCCCAGATCAACAGCTTTTGGTATCATCTGGGCCAGATCAGCCAGAACAGGTGTACCCAAGTGCAGTTCAGCAAGATAGAGAATATTCTGTCTCTGCCTCTGGTGGCCCAGATTATGAGGGTATTGGTCCACATGATCAGGAATATTTGGATCTACGCAGAACAAGTGATTTACAGCAACCTGGGCGACCTGCCCAGGCTGCCTCTGTCCAAGAAGTTCCCTCTTTCGTGAGTCAAGAAGACTCCGAAAGGAGTGAGGTCCAGAGTGAGCGACATGATTCACTGGAGAAACTGGCCCCCAACTTCCCCATAGCGGTGGAAACGTTTCGTCTGATGGGAGAGATGATAGGTCTCTATGTGGAGCTAAAGGAGAGAATAAAGGATCTGGATGAGGAGAAAGCTGGCCAGACTGACTTGGAGAAGATAGAGTACCTACTCGCACTGATGGGTGGGTACCACTTGTGGGGTGTGGGGGAGGAGAGGGCACTGTTTTCACTCTAAGTTGGTGGCATCCTTTCCTTCCCCTGGCCATATAGGCATAGCGTCCCTCTCAGACCTTCTGGGCTCCACAGGCCTTCAGGGTCCAAATGAACGGGTCGGGCAAAGGCTGGGGCAGGCCAGCGGGGCTGATGGAGCCTAGGGGAGGGATGAAGAGTGCCTCTTCTGCCTCTGTCAGTCCTCCTGCAGAGCAGCTGGGGGAGGTGTCGGGAGGCGTGGGGAGAGAATGCTGAGGACTGAACTTAACACTTGCTCAGGGCTGGGGGTGTCGCTAAGTAGAAGAGTGCTTGTCTGGTTTATGCCAGGCTCTGGGTTCCATCCCCAGCACAGGAGGAAAAATGGTCCAATCACAAGTTTAGGTTCCAGGGAGTAATTAAGATTTTAGTCGTGGGTCTGTGGGCGGGGTTTCTATGGGTGCAAGACAACCCTCTTCCCTCTTTCCTCATCTCCTCGCCCCAGTCACCAGGGAAGGCAGTGTTCTCTGGGGTCCTTCATTTTGTGGGGTTGGAAAGAGAGTGGGAGCCCACTGGGAATCTAACCCTTTTGACATTAAGGTCTCCATTTTTCCTAGTCCAAAAAACCATACCCCCTGACCTGCAGGAACAGCTGAAAAGCATAAAGACCTTGGCCAAAGAAGTTCGGCAAGAAAGAGCCCAAGTATGTAAGGGAGAGTGAACCTCCTTTGCCTTCTGGATGGGGTGGGTCAGAGCCCTTGTGCTTTGTGCTTGAGGGTGACAGAGTCCTTTTTCAGATCTGATTGGGCCTTTGCCATCCCTCAGGTAGAAAGTGCACCCTGGGTGTTACTGTGTTTGTTTCCTGACCCTCAAAGCTATTAAGATACAGCTGAGTTAAGCAGTCTTGGCACTTTCTGGGGACAGAGGTCATTGCAAGGGGCTGCTAGGAATTTAGCATTCTCAATGCCAACAACTACATCCAGGAGGTAGATGGGTGGCTGGATGTTCAGAGAGGACCTAGATTTCATTAGGTAAAGATTAGAGAATGGAGAGGAGTGTGTGGGGGTTGCAGGATCACATGCAGGAAAGGGGGGAGCAGGCCTACCTGACCTTCCCCTTCCATTGGGTTTGCAGCTGAACAAGCTACAAAGAATCCTGGAGGGTGACAGTGACCGGGAAGCAGGGAAGGAGCTGAAGGCTAGTCAGCTGAGCCTGCAGCTGGGCATCATCAGGTGAGATGCCCCTACCCTGTGCACTGTAGTCCTGGTGTCCTGTGTTCCCAAGACAGAAGGCGGTGGCAGCCTTCACTTTTCCTCCTGCTCTGACCTGACTGCTGTCTTTGACCTGGATCATACCTAGCCTTCAGGTTGCCAGATCTAGTTCAAGGAACTGGTACAAGTTCCCCAGGTTCCTAAAACAGCTCATTAGCAGGTCTAAGAAGAGCACAAGGCTCTTCACACTGTCCCCAGGGAGATGCAGCTCAAGCTCCTCAGAGCTCCTCTTTGCAGGGCCCTGTATCACCGCCTAGAAGCCTTAGGCCAACACATGGGGCAGCCCCTGGAACAGAAGTAGGACCTGGGGCTCTCTAGACAGAGCCAGCCTCCTCTCATCCCCTGCGTCCGGGGTGGCCAGGCTTGGTACTACTGGGCTCCGTTCTCTGAGCTGGCCCTGGAACTAGGTGGTCTCTTATATATCGCAGAGTCACCGTGGCTGACATTGAGAAGGAGCTGTCTGAGCTGCGGGAGAGTCAGGAACGAGGCAAGGCTGCCATGGAGAACTCCGTCTCGGAAGCCTCACTTTACCTGCAGGACCAGGTGAGGAACTGGTGCTCCTCAGCTCCAGGGACCACGCACCCTTCTCAGAGTTGGCTATGGACAGTGGACAGGCCTGCCTTCTCACTCCTCAGAGACCAAGCTTTCAGGTCCCCCTTAGCATGTGTGGGGAGGTGACTGTGTCTAGGATTCAGCCTCCTCCCAATGCAAAACCGAATTGGGCCACAGGTGCACAGGCACGGGCATCCTGGAGCAAGGTGATGATGTGCTGTACACCTCCCACTCATCTACTTTCCCTGTCCTTCTTTCATTATATAATTTACATATTATAAAATTGCCCTTTTAAAGTGAACAAGACAGTAGCACATACCTCTAATACCTGGGCTCAGGAGGCTGAGGCAGGAAGGTCATAGGCTGGAGGCCAGTCTCAGCAGTTTAGCAAGACCCTCAGAAACTTAGCAAGACCCTGTCTTAAAACTTGAAAAAATGTAGCAGAGTGGAGGAGCACCCTGGAGTTCCAGTACCAAAATAATAATAATAATAAAGTGAACCAGGTATTTTGTAATAACTCACAAGTTGTGCAACCATGACAACAACCCAATTCCAAGATGTTTCATCACTGCCTAAAGAGGCTTTAATCCTGTTAGCAGTTTCTCTCCCACACCCCATGACCCCCCCACACAAGCCCCAGGCCCTGACAACCATTCTTCTGCTTTCTGTCTTTTGGAAGTGTCTTCTTTTGGACATTCATTTCATAGAAACAAAATCTTGTGATAAATGGTCTTTTGCATCTGGCTTCTTTTTCTGAGTAGTGTTTTCAAGGTCCATCCATGTTGCAGCACGTATCAGTCCTTCACTCTTTATTACTCAGGACAGTTTCACTTTGTGGCTATACCACAATTTATCTATTCATCAGTTGAAGAACATTTGAGTTGTTTCCATCTTTTGGCAATTAAAACTAATGCTGCCATGAACATTCCTGTACAAGTTTTTAATGTGGAGATGTTCTAATTTCTCTTAGGAACATACCAAGAGTGGGATTGCTGGGTCATATGACAACTTTAATTATCATTTGAGGGCCTGCCAGACTGTTTTCCAAAGTGGCCACACCATCTGACATTCCTCCTAGCAATGTTGAGAGGGTTCCACTTTCTCCCTGTCCTCACCAACACTTGTTATTTTCTTTCTTTTTTTTTTTTTAATTTTTTAATTTTTTTTTTATTGGTTGTTTATTTTCTTTCTTTTAATTCGAGCCATTCTAGAGAGAGTGAAGTGGTATCTCATTATGGTTTTGACTTACATTTTCTTGATGACTAATCATGCTGAGCACCTTTGCATGTGCTTTTTGACAGTTGTATGCCTTGTTTTTTAGCGATAAGGGATACAAATATCTACTCAAATCCTTAGTCCATTTTTTACATTGAGTAATTTATCTTGTTATTATTGAGTTCCACAAGTTCTTTACATATTCTGGATACCAGGTTTATCTGGTATAGACTTGCAAACATTTTCTCCCACTCTGCAGGCTGTCTTTTCTTTTTTTTTCTTTTTCTTTTTTGTAGTGTTAGGGATGGAACCCAGGCCAGGCAAGAGCTCTCCCACCAAGCTACAACCCAGCCTCTCACTTGCTCAATAGTGAGTGTCTACCTTTGAATCTTGAATGACACTGTCCTTAGTTTTCCTAGTAAAGAGTGTCTGACTTAGGAGCAGTCCCCTGAGCACTCACAGAAGGACCACCTAGGGAAAGCCACTGGGCCCAGGTATTCCAGTCAGGAATCCCTGTGTGCCTTGAGCCATGTTGTGGTCTCTCTTCCCAGCTGTTGGTGCAATGGCATGTAACATTTCAAGACTGAGCCAATTATCCCATGTGGGGCAGAGAGGGTACAAAGTCACCTGCTGGCCCAAAGTTCCTGTCTGGTCTTGGTAATCAGCAGGGACCTCCCAGGCCACACTTTGGAAAGGAGCTTCCCCCTGGTTGTGCAGCCTCTCCTCTAGTCAAACCTTCCTCATGTTCAGCCTCCAGCCCTCGGCCTTCCTGCCTGTCTTTTAGCCCCCTCCCCCTTTCTCATGCTATCTTTGTTCTGGAATTCTCCTGGATCTTCTTTACCCAGAGAGCTGCTTTATGTTCTTCAAGGCATCACTGAGATGCCCATTTTTCTGGGACTGTTCCTTTTCCCTTTGAGAGAATGACTCTGTCCCTTTGCATCCCAGAGACCTGTTATGTGCTGGCCTCAGCCAAGGCCATTCAGTTGCAAGTCCTGTTTGTTCAAGCAAAAGGGAGACACATTGAGTATATACAGAGTTGGGAGGGGGGGTATGTCCAGGCCACAGCGGGCAGTTGGGGTGTTTCCCCATGTTTGGTTTTCTGCATACCTTTGTCTTTTTCCTCACCCATCCCTCTCAGCCTCCCCACCTCTCTTCCATTCTGTTCCCAAGCAACTTGTCTCTTACACATGGTTCCAAATGGCTGCCCCGAGCCCTGTAGTTTTTTGACTTTTCTGCCCACTACCAAATTGGGGGATGGGTGGATGGGGGGTACAGGTTGGCTGTGCCCCTTTTTGAGTCAGGCAATGAGTTGAGGGTCTCTGGCCAGTCCAGGTTGGTTGCTCTTAAATTGTGCTCTGCTTAGGCCCGGTCATTAGCAACAACAAGCTGGACAAGGGGCTGCAGAGGAGAGCAGCAGGGCCAGGCCAAGCAGCTGTCCCTGGAAGGGGCTTATACCCCCTGACCCTGAGAGACCCCTGCAGCACTGTCTTCACTGTCCCATCCCTTTACTGTCAGTTATGCACATACTTGGTGGCACAGAGCATGGGCAAGCCCACCATTCACACCCCTAGGCCCCCAAGCAACCTGGCTGTCATCAGAGTGCTGTGAATGTCTATGGATCACTTTAGGGTTTAGCCAGAGCAGATCAATGGGCTGACTGGAGAAAGGTCCAGAAACCTCCTACCTGCAAATGCTTTATTCAATTGAATTTTTACTTTTGGTGGTACAGGGGGTTGAACCAGGGGCACTCTACCACTGCATTATATTCCCAGCCCTTTTAAAAAATATTTCATCTTTGGGGCTGGGGTCATGGCTCAGCAGTAGAGAACTCGCCTAGCACATGTGAGGCCCTGGGTTAAATTCTCAGTACCACATAAAAATAAATAAGATAAAGGTATTGTGTCCAACTACAACTAAAAAATAATAAAAAAAATTTCATCTTGAGACAGGTCTCACTAAGTTGCTGAGGCTAGCCTCAAACTTGCAATCCTCCTGCCTCTGCTCCTGAGTCCTTAGTATGCCAGATGTGGCCACAACATCCAGCCACCAGTGCTTTATGTGGCGTTCAGGCTGACCCCAAGGAGAGCACTGTTCACTGGTTGACCAACAGAGATGGGGTGCCTGCTACACTCTGTACATTCTGCAAGGCACCAAAGGGTGGTGACTGCCCTCTCAGTCAGGAAGAGGCAGGAAGCATCTCACTAGCATTGGTGGTCTGGGCAGAATATGGCTGAGACTGTCTCTGTCCTCTCCCCATGTCTTTCCTTCACCCAGTTAGACAAGCTGAGGACAATCATCGAGAGTATGCTGGCCTCCTCTTCCACCCTGCTGTCCATGAGCATGACCCCACACAAGCCCTTGACTTACTTCACACCTGGCCGGATTGACCCCAATGCTACCTGTCCGGCCTGCAGCCTGGACCTGGGCCATCAGGTCAGCACACTCGTACGGCGCTATGAGCAGCTCCAGGACATAGTCAGCAACCTGGCTGCCTCCCGGCCTTCTAAGAAGGCCAAGCTCCAGAGCCAGGTGAGTCTCTGCTTGCCTCCCTCCCAGTGCCCTGGAGGCCCTGCAGAGTGTCAGCTGACAGCTCTCCCCAAGAAGGGGAGCTTCAGGCTTGAGATCATCTTTAGCCAGATCCTACAAAACTCCCTGATCCTTCCACAGGGTCACAGCGTGAGTAGCTGTGAGTCAGCTCTGGGGACAGGAGACTGAGAAGAGCTGGTTCAGTGGGTGGGGTGGTCCTGGCTGGTCAAGGGTAGAGCAGTGCCATGTGTGTGCACATTTGAGCAGACAGCCACTCCCCTGGCATGCCCATCTTCCCAATTCCTTCCAGATTTCTCCCCACAAGTCCTCCTCCTGGACTCAGGAATTCATATTTGGATCCTGAATCCAAGATCAGGGAAGGTGGGGAGAGACTACAGCTACTGGAGCTAGACCTAGTGAAGTGCTGCTGGAGGACCAGTGGAGATCTCTCTCTAGAAGCAGCTCAAGAGCAGCACATGCTCCTGAGCCTCAGTCACCTCTGCTGATCACTGTACTTGGCCCAGCAGCTCCTTGTCCTATGGCAGGGGACATAGGGAGGACTGTTTGAGGCTGCTGGGTGGTCCTACACCTTGGGGCAAATCCATGAGGATGTAGAGGACTGCTGTCCCTGTCTGGCTGGGAACACAACTGTTGGTGGGAAACTGAATGTCACTATATAAAATGGACATGGATCTGAAATGAGCTTCCTTATTGGGTGGTGTAGGGCCACCCAGCAGCCTCAGAGAGTCCTCCCTGTGCCCCCTGCCACAGGACGAGGAGCTGCTGGGCCATGTACAGAGCGCCATCCTGCAGGTGCTGGGTGACTGCGAGAAGCTAAACATCACTACTAGCAACCTCATCGAGGACCATCAGCAGAAGCAGAAGGACATTGACGTGAGCAGCTAGGGCAAGGCTGAGGCCCACACCACCCACCCCTGCTGCTCAGCTGCTGGTTCTTTATTTCTTACTTTCTGGGCCTCCAGATGCTGTACCAGGGCCTGGAAAAGCTCGAGAAGGAAAAGGCCAACAGGGAGCACCTGGAGATGGAGATCCATGTGGTAAGCACCAGTTCCCAGGGGCCCTCTGCCCTAGGGTGGTCTTGCTGGCCAGAGGGGTGAGGGGCTGGTGGTGTAGGGCATGGAGATGTGGGCTCTTGGAAAACTGTGCTTCAGGGGTTGACATGGGGGGGATGGGCCCTGTCATGGCCCTCTCCCAAGTGGGGCCTCCCCTACTCTTCATGCAGAAAGCAGACAAGAGTGCCCTAGCAGCCAAAGTGAGCCGTGTCCAGTTTGATGCCACCACAGAGCAACTAACCCACATGATGCAGGAGCTGGTGGCCAAGATGACTGGGCAGGAGCAAGACTGGCAGAAGATGTTGGACAAACTCTTGGTACAGATGGACAGCAAGGTGAGTGCAGGAAAGGCTGCAGGACGGGTGGGGCTGTCTTCCACTGCCCTCAAGGCTAGACCCCCATCTGCTGCCTTGGTCTCACCTGGAACCCACCCCCACCCAGCTGGACCGCCTGGAGCTAGACCCTGTGAAGCAGCTGCTGGAGGATCGGTGGAGATCGCTGCGGAAGCAGCTCAAAGAGCGCCCTCCACTCTACCAGGCAGATGAGGCAGCTGCCATGAGGAGGTGAGGCCCGGAGATAGCTGGGAAGTGGCATACCTTGCTGGGAGGGCAGGTGGTGGGCTGGGGACCCCCAACAAACTGAATCTTCCAGAGATGTCCCATTGTTGGAGGGACAATTTTAGAGCTGGAAGAAGTCTTCTAGCTCAGACCCCTTCAGATGACCACAGAGAAAGGGAGTTGGGAGATGCTAAGACTCCCTGGCTGAGGTGTGTTGCACTGGGCCCTTGGGACAGGGAGAGGTCTGTAGTCTCAGAATTGAGATGTTCCTTGGGGACCTGGGTGGTAGTGGCCTTGAAGCCCAGGATTACCATTCTTGGCCACCAGAGGGGCCCCAAGGCCTATGAAGAGCACGCTTGGGACCCTGGGAACCCTGCTGACTTTGAGTAAGGATGGCAGGTGCAGGCCGTGTGCATGGAAGCAGGCATGTGCGAAAGCAGGGCCACCCTACTGAGCCTCCTGCCAGTCTGGATTGTGGGCAGCCAACCCCTCTGAGCTCTCCCCCTCTGTGCACCTCACTCCCAACAGGCAGCTCTTGGCTCATTTCCACTGCCTCTCATGTGACCGGCCCCTGGAGACAGCTGTGACTGGACAGTGAGTGCTCATACCTGGCCCAGGGCAGCTGGTGACCATGGTGGGGTGGCATACAGGGCTTCACTTTCTCCATCTGCCTACCTCACCTCTTATCTTTTCCTTCAGTCTCCTGGGCCTACTTCCTGCCCTGCGCCTTCTCAGGCCTGGCTAGTCTGGGGTGGTTAGGAAGGTCCTTTAGGCTGATGGAATATGGGAGTGGTAGGTGGATCCAGTGATGGAATGTCCAAATCTGAGCCCCCCTACCTCTGTGTCCCTGTCCAGAATGATACCCCTGATTCCTATGAGTCCTGGCCTGCCAGCACACCGGTCCATTCGCCCCTACACAATATTCGAGCTGGAGCAGGTCCGCCAGCAGAGCCGCAAGTACGGGGCAGTGGAGTCCTGGGCAGGACTGAGTGGGAGGGTGGGGTAGAGAAGGCTCCAGAGGGTGCCCTGGGGCACTGTACAGGGCCTGAGGTGAGAACCTGCCACCAGTCGGGTTCTGAACTACCTGCTAGCCCTTCTGCTCTCTCCCCTTTGACTCATTTATACTTTGGCCTCTGGGGAAAACCTTTCTGGGCAAGTGTGGCCCCTCAGGGGTGCCTTGGAGAGGGCTGATGCCCTGGGACCAAACTGCCCCAAACCTGCAGGCCTCAAGCCTTTCAAGGGTGCTAGCTCCGCCCGCACAGGATTTTGCAGAATAAAGGCCCATGGTGTAAGGAAGTATTTACGCCAGGTATAGGAATGGAGGATGTGGGGCTCTGTCCATCTTGGGCTGACCACCCTCCCTTCCACCTGGGCCCCACAGCCTCAAGCTAGGCAGCACTTTCTGTCGGGGTGACCTGTCACCGATGGAGCGGAGTGCAGGGCGCCTGCGCACCATGCACTCCAAGATGCTGATGGACATTGAGAAGGTGCAGATCCACTTTGGAGGCTCTGTGAAGGCTAGCAGTCAGATGATCCACGAGCTGCTGCAGGCCCAGGGCCTCACTTCCCCTTGCTACAAACGGTAGGGGACAGAGTCCAGGTGACTGTGCCTGGTTTATGCCCACCCCACAACCATGTGAGCAAAGGGGAAGGTGTGTAAAAACATGTGTGTGTGAACATGCTTGTGTGTATGTGTGGTGGCCTCAAAGTTGCTGTGCTCACTCACCCACCTGTCCCTGGCCCCTTGCTCCTGCCCTGACTCCTGGGGACTCCTCAAGAGAGCTGCCTCTGTGTCTCTGGCTAGCCCCATCATAGGTGTGTCCCAGGTCACACTCTTGGTAGCTCTCACTGACTCCATGCTGTCTGCATCACAGGGTGCCAGATGCGATGGTGGGTTACACCTACTCCACTGTGCCCCGGCGCTGTGGAGGAAGCCACACCCTCACCTACCCCTACCGCCGTAGCCGCCAGCAGCACCTGTCCCAGGGCCCGTATGCTCCTGAGGAGATCCAGATAGCCATGAAGGTCTGGGCCCTACCAGGGAGCCTCAGGGAGGAAGGTCCTGACATGCCCCAGATTCCAAGTCATTCTGGAAAAACAACCTGAAGTCACCTCCTGTGCCCCTTGCCTTGGGGCGGTTTCTTAATCAGACCCAATTCAAGCCCCTTCTTTACATCCTGCCTTGGGAAAAAGATTGCCACTCCAGCTCTGCCAGCAGGCACCGCCACTGCAGGGCCTGAGAACCACGTGCTTTCCACTTCCTCCCACCTTGTCACTGCCCTGGTGCAGCCCAGGGTCCACAGGGAGAGTTGTAAGCACTGTTTGGTACCAGGAGTCAGAACAGTGCTCTGCACCCCAGGCCTTCACAGGAGCAGGAGCAGAGGGAAAGGTCTAGGTGTCATAGTGGTAACGGACTGTTTGCCTCTACAGCATGACGAGGTGGATATCCTGGGCCTAGATGGACATATTTACAAGGGACGGATGGATACGAGACTGCCAGGCATCCTGAACAAAGACAGTGAGTATGCAGATAGCCCAGGGTCCTTACTTGAGTCCTAAGGGACCATCCATCTCCTGGAAGGTTGAGCATACCTTGGGCTACCAGACTGTGGGTGCCACCTTCTTCATTTCCCTGCCTCCAGATGTTCAGGTCTCTCCAAAAGCCCCCAGGTAAGTGCTTACGGATAGAAGACAGCTTTCCTGCCTCAGCCAATCACCCAGCAGGTGGTGGCCCCATCTTTTCTTGCTAGTCTTCTCCTGTTACCACTGCTGAGCTGACCCACCTCAGGCTGCTCCCATCAACACAGCCAAGCTGTACCGGTCCCTTCTTTAAAACCCTGCAAGACACCATCCCTTAATGATCTCCCACGACCCTGAAGGCTGGCTTCCAGTTCCCCATATCTGAATCAGGCTGCTTACCACTTCCCATTGTGCCTTTTAACCCTGCGAGCACCTAGAACTCACCACACCTGGCACATAGCTGATGTGTGTAGTTTTTCAGAGAATGAGTGAGTAGAAGGATGGACAGATAGAGGAGCATAGATGGATGGTGGGTGGAAAGAGCAATGGTCAAGAGCTGGGTGAGCAGGGGGCGGGGGGGGGGATGGGTGGGCATGTGAATGAGTGAAGTGCCTGTAAAGGGTGAAGGGGCAGATCTACAAATTCTGACCATTCCGCTGAGGCTGGCTATGACCTGCAGCCTACATCCATCTCCCCATGTGCCTGGGTCTGTCTCAGAAAAGACTCTTCCCTCCACTGCCCTCAGGAGTGTCAAAGCACAAGACCAAGCAGCCCCGGCCCCACCTGCCCAGGCATCAGGCCCTGGGTAACATCGGACAGCTGCCCTCCCGGCCTCAGAGCACCCACCTATTGGCTGGCAACAACTCAGGTAGCTTTCTTCTGGATGAGGTGTCCTTCCATATGGCTTGAACACTGTCCTCTGGTCTCTCCTTCCTGCCCCACCACCCCCTAGTTTATACCTTTGTTTCCCTGAAGAGAGGAAAGGCTGGGAGCTGAAGGGTAGGATGGGAAGGAAAAGAGAAAGTCAATTACTGAGTGCTTGGCATGTGCCAGGTCTATGGGGTGGATACTACTGCTGTTCCTGATTCATACAAGAGGACACAGGTTTCTCTGGCTTAAGCCCAGTCCTTCCCTTCTCACATAACAGGATTCTCTTTGAGCTGCTGCTTATGGGATCCAAGCACCTGTAGGACATGGGACTATGATCAGGCCCCAAGGGACCCCTCACTCTGGTGCTGCCTGGAGGTATTCCTCCCACCCCCAGGCCTAGAAAGCCCCCACAGCCCCTGGTCTCATCCAAGGAGCTAGACCACATCTTAAGGTCAGGGAGCAAAGGGCCTCAAGGTTAGCCACACAAGGGCCTGGGTCCCTTGCTAGGATCCTGGGGCCAAAAGGCTTGATCAATACCAGGTGACTATTCAGGTCTCTCCCCTCTGCAGACCTAGGTTTTCTCATCTGTCATCAAGGGGGTGGGGTGCTGGATGCATGCTTCTTAGAGTTAGGGCCCCTGTGAGATTGTCACAAAGGTGTCAACCTTCCATTTATCAAATACTCACGTACCCTCAGTACCTAGTAAATCTGTAGGAGGTTCAAGGATCCCCTGACACCCACACACCATCCCCATCCCCAGCTTGAGGGCTCAAATCCTCTGTGCTCTGTAACACCCTTCCATTCCCACATTCAGTGAGTGCCTGTGACAAAGGAAGAAGGGAAAACAGAAGAGAAAGCTTAGTTGGTAATGGTGCCTCGCCTTCATTGGGGATGCCCTCCTGTCCAGGCAGCATTTAGGAGTTTTTATACATACAAACAATTTTAATCCACACACCAATACTAAGGGGTAGGGACCATTGTTAGCCCCAGTTACAGCTGAGAATACCAAGGCGCAGAGAAGTCTTAGGAAACATTCCTGAGCCTTTATGATCTGTGTGATGTTGCCTAAACAGTCCTGTATTAACATTACCCAAGAGGCAGACTTTTGGCCCCAACAAGAGGGCATGTTTACTGACTAACTTTCCTTTACAGGGATTATAAAGGAGCCCCAACTGCTCCAGCGCTCCTAAGTACTCTGCATACTCCAATCCCACCAGCCTGGCCAGTGGGGCCATGCCTGACTTCCCTGTGCTTTGGGTGAGCTGAGTGGGCCTTAGTGGGTGTGGGATACATGGTGGAGCCACCCATGCCCTCCTGTCTTGCAGTTTCTTCGAGGCAACATCTCTCCCAGTCAGATATGGCCCATCCACCCAGCCCCACTGAGATGGAACACCTGCAGGACAACGGTTCAGGACCAGAAATGCACATGGACATACCTCCTGAGGAGGAGCTAGAGGAGCCCACTCGGGGACCACGGTCCACCACTGCTCCCTGAATAGAGCTTTAAGTAAATGTTTAAGAAGAGGCTTATATTGGGGAAGGCTTCTCTGTCAGTCCTGCCTCAGGAAGATGGAGTGAGAAGGCAGTGCCTGCTGCTGGCCAGGCAGCCCCAGGTGCCCCCAGGGTCCTCAGTCTGAGAATTAGACCTCCAGTTGTTCTAAGTGTGCTGGGGCTCCTGGAGGGCTTCACCGTTGAATTCAGGGCAGCCTGAGTTGGGCCTCCTCTCACTCTCACACCCATCAGCCAGCCCAAGTGTGCTGCTGCCTTCGGGGATGCAGCCCTAACTTCTGATGTGGAGGACTAGCCCAGGACACTGGATAGGCCTGGACCCATGGTGTGGATGTGCTAACTGTATCTTGGAGTAGAGGGCAGAGCTGCTTGCTACTACCCTGCTGCCAGCTCAGGGCAGCTCCTGGGTCCTCACACAGGTCCCAGTGAAGCAATGCCATGAACCAGAAGCAAAAACCCACAGCCCTTGGGAAAGGTTACCATGCTCTGCTGTCTGCCCTTGAGTGGGCCACACAGCCAGCCACAGCCTGAAGGCCAACCCCTGGCAGAAGGGCTGAGTAGAAGCTTCCCTGGCCAATGCCTGGGAAGATGGAGAGCAGGAGTTCAAGGGGCATGGCTTGCATTTTGTGCAAGGCTGAGCCTTCAACCTGCTCCAGGCAGCTGCTTGGCCCATTTGGTCACCTCCTCACTAGCCCCAAACCTACAAACCTATGGAAAAAATGCACCGATATTGGTGGGAGGGTACGGAGGAGTACTGTGTGGTTGAGCCGGCAGCAGCTGCCAGGAACAAGCCCCCAGCACCCAATTGAACCTCCTGAACTTGGGTCACTGGCTGAATTCTGGGGTCCCCCAAAAGACAGGCAAGCTGGGGACAAAGAAGGCCTGAATCATCAAAGTAGTTTCTACCTCAGGTCTTTTCCCACATCAGAGGGAACCAAATGCCCAGAGTGGAGGATGGGGCTCTCCCCACCCCCAGTTCCCATCATCCCTCACATGGGAAAGGGATGTCTCGGGTAAGAGGCTCATTTGGGGGTGTGAGAAGAGGGGGTGAATCACACAGGAAAGAGAGGCAGGAAATGGCCCAGAAATAGGTTTCTCACCCCTGGCCTGGTGTGGGCAAAAGTGGGCTTGGTGGGGGATGCTGTGGAGGTGGGATGCACCCTGAGGGTGGTTCCCTGCTTCCTGATCCCAAGATTCCATGTATCTTTATGTAATCACATAATGCTCATGGCTGGGTGGGAAGAAGAGCTGCTTGGACAGTGGGCACTCCAGGCCAGTACCTTTTCTCTGTACACAGGAGGCAGCGCCAGGGCCATCCCTTCCCCCTAGGCTCCTATTTCTCTCACTGAAGTCCCACCCTGGCAGTGAAATGCCAGAAGGTCAGCTCAGTTTCCCTGGTCTAGAAGCCAAATTCACAGGCTTGGCAGGGAGGAGCAGGTCAGCTCTCCTCACCCACAGAGGACAGGAGTCACATTCCCTGAGTTGCCGGGGCTGGCCCCCACCATTCCACACCTGGGCATGGCCGCTGCACCCTCTCCCAGGCTGGCACACACCTGGGTGCACCCCAGCCCCGGTCCCAGCAGCCTCTAGGGGTGTCACAGCCTGAAAGCCCACGTTCCTTCCAGGGGCTTCCCCTGCTAGCCTGGGAAAGCACAGGTGGGCAGGGGCAGAGCTGAGGCTGGGAGGAGTCTCAGGGGTTTCCAATCAGGAAACAAAACTGAAAGGACAAACCCAGCTTTCACGTGCAGTAGACAGGGCAGCTGGGCTCACTGTTCCACTCCACTAAAGGAGGGGGTGCCCCCAATCAGGGTGAGAAGATGCAAAAAGGCCCAGAGGCAAGGTGGTTAACCTGGCTGGGGCCCTTAAGTTTCACTTCACTTTAGGCCAAAACCTCCAGCCCCCAGCCCAGCAGTTCTGCCTTTCAATAGCACTTGGTCCCCCTCAAGCCACAGGAAGGAGTAAAGCTCAAGGCAGGGCTGCCCCTACCATTGCTGGTACTGGCTGCCACATGGTGGTTGTCCATGGCTCCAGGAGGAATTACAACCATGTGGCAGGTCACTCACTCTCAGCCTGTCTCACTCACCTGAGTATGTACTGGAGGACAGCAAGAAAAGGTGCTGGCCAAGGACAGCCAATGCTGCCCATTCTAATACCTGGAGGACTGCAGGGCAGGTGGAGGAAATGGAAGCAAGCGTCTCCAGGAACCCACCCACTGTCTGGCTCCAACAGCTGTGGAGTCCTACAAATACATACTCATTGACACACCTCCCCAAGGGAGGCTGAGGGTAGTAACAGTAAGATGGGCCCAACTGGAAGATGCAGGGAGTGCCTAGGGCAAAGCAGCATTGGGAGGACACCAACGTTCCTAGCAGCAAACAGAATTGGTTTCCAGGGCCAGCCCTGTGGTGCACACCTGTAAGCGCAGCTCCTTGGGATGCTGAGGAAGGGGATAGGCATGCAGCTCAGTGATAAAGCTGTGCTCAATCCCCAGTGGGGTTGGGGGTGGATGGCTTCCCTCCAGGCTCAAGGGTTCTGCTGTTCTAAGCTATAGACAAGGACCAAGTCATGCAACATCCAAGTCAGACTTGTCCCTACTCTTGCTTGTACTATCAATTCCCCCATGCAGATGCCATCCAGAAGCATCTAGAACAGCCAAATTCAATGGGGCCCCTTCCCCGACCACAGCACAACCAGAGTCCCCACAATTCTCTTCCCAAAGGCATAGCTTCTACCCAGGAAAATAAAGGCACTGCAAAGCAGGGAAGTTAAGTCTTTTTACGTTTTTAAATTAAAATTCACTCTGGTGAGATGAGATTTTGACTTAGGAACTCCACCCAAAGGTGAGCTCCTCCAACCCTGGACACATATGGGGAAAGCTTAGGTGACCAGAGAACAGTCAGGGATGGGACAGTTAGGTCCCCCACTGGGCAGAGCCTGGCCTTCCAAGCCAGCTCTTTAGTCCTATAAGCCTTTCATACCCAGCTGGAGATCCAGAGGGGCCACAAAACAAGGGTGGCAGAGGAGATGAGGAAGAATCAAGAGCATGGCAGTGTTGGGGCTAGGGGGCAGGGAGAGCCCCCGTGACGCCAAGAAGGCCCTTCTGGGACCTCTCCTGCAGCTGCTAGGTAGCTGTCCCCAGGATGGGAAGAGTTGGGATCTTCTTCCTGATGGCAGGTATGAATTCTGAGTGAAGGCAGCTCACATCCAACTGCAAAGGACATTCCACCTGACTCTGAAAGACCCCTTTGCCCGGAGACTGGACTGGAGGAAGAGCTGCGGGCCAGGGAAGGATTCTCGTGGCTCTTCCCCTCTGACCCCCGCACCTCAGGTGTATCCGCCTCATGCTCACATACATTAGTTATATTTATATATTCATATATATTATAGTTATATATTAAAAAGAGAAAAAAACTTGCCCAAAGAGAAACTCCTGAGGGACCCAAGTGGCCCAGGAAGTTTACTGTCCCCCCACCCACAAAAATTCTTTTATAAAATCTTCCAGTGCGATCTTCAGGAAACCCCAAACCTCCCCAGCTCCCCCCTCCCTGACCCTCTTGTGTCCCCACAACCCCAGACTGCCCCCCACTCCAGCCCAGCACTTGGAGGCATCCAGTCTCATCTCTGGCCATCCATCGCTGCCATGGCTTTCTGCTGGGCGCCCCCCTGCTGTGCTCCAGGGGGCCACGTGGGCTGTGGGCAGTGGAGGCGGTGGAAAGAGGTTGGGGAGGAAGGCGGGATCCAGTGAGCCTGGTGGCTGGGAGGGGAGGAGGCCCAGAAAGGACTGAAGTTTGCAGGGGGTGAGCAGGCCACCGCAGTCATGGGGCTGTTGCTGCTCTGCAGGCCCTCGGAGGCGCGGAGCTTGGAGAACATGGCCAGCGCATCGGGGAAGTTGGGCGGTGTGGCAGGTGTGTTGCTGGGAGTACACATCTGCAGGGAGAGAAGAAGGTGTGGGGAGGGCTGCCTGCAGGGTCCCAGAGCCCTTTACTCCCATTGCTCAGCCCACAGCTTCAACAGGATTGAAGCACCCCCTCTCCCCTCCAGAGTCAATAAAAACAAAAAACCAGGGCAAACACATAAATCTCGCCAAAGCCAAAGGGTCATCCTTGGAAATGACACCAAGGGTATCAGAAAAAGGCTGTTTCTGACCTGAAGCTACAGTGAAGGGACAAGGAGTAGTGCAGGACAGCATTAACCAGAAGCGCTAAGAAAAATCAGCCGGCTCCCTCCATCACCCATCCTCAAGATGTTCCCAGGGTGCTGGGTAAGAAAGAACAGCCAGGTACAGAAAAGCTACTCTCGTGTTGGGTTTATTCCACATTCTCAGTCAAAAAAACCCTGGAGCCCTCACCTCCAAGATCTTACTTCTCACAAGGAGGCCTGGTTGGCTGAACTAACTCTTTCCATATTGTAAACAAGTAAACAGGCTCAGAGGTCAAGTCATGACAGAAAATGCACTCAAAAGCAGGGTGCAGTTGAGAAGGCCCGTTCCAGGCTCCCAGGTCTGCAGGCTCAAGGTCTTAACTGTGGGAAGGCCACACTCTGCTGGGCCAGAGCTTCCCAGTGCAGCATCCAGATTTGGACTCCCTAATTCTGGAGTCTCCAGCCTCATTGCCTGCCTGTCCTTGCCCAGAGGCTGGCAGCTCCCTCTTATGGGGGTAGTTCCAAACAGTCCAACAAGAGTAATCTTCTGCCACTGCCCTTGGGGCAGGGAACAGGCAGCCTAAAGAACAAAACCTACACAAACTGGTTCTGACCTCAAAGTCGTTTCTCCCTTTCCCAGGAAGCCATGGGAGTCCTTCTTTGAATTTCTCCTAATTTTAGTAACACTGGCCCCACCCCCAGGCACAGGGCTGAGGTGGGGGCAAGACTCTAGGATTTCACCATGAAGGAGGAGGGCTTGCAGCTCTGCAGTTAAACCTAAGGCAGAAACTGAGAGGAGGACCCCACCCCACCCTGGTCACAGAGGCTGGTGCCACATCAGCTCCTAGGGGAACTCTGACCATTGTCTTCCCAGGGGCCCTCAGGGGAGGCCAAAGAACTCAGCCAGAAGCCAGGCCCCACCCAGACATTTCCCTCCTCCCTCTCGGGATTCCCTGCCCCCCATCAGGGCTGAATTCTCCATAGCAGGAAACAATGGGGGGTGGGGGTGGAGGCAAATTGCATCACAGCATCGTGACCCACTTCCCCAGTTCACCAAGTCAGTGGGGCCTATCTCCTCTAGCAGCCACCCTGCTCCAGAGAACAGCCCCATGGCTAACAGGGCCTGTGCATGCCTGCCTGCCTAGGTGAGCTTGGGCAAGTTTCTGCACCTCTTTGAAGCTTCTCTCTGCTTTAGTAAAACCAGGGGCTTGGACCAGAGTACTAAAGCCCCCTCCCCAGGCTCTCCAGTGAACCCTGTGTCCCGTCACCCCTCCTCCCCCTTAGGTCAAAGTCGTCCTGCTTCCAGTCTCACTGTCCTCCTTCATTATTATCTGGGGATCTTCCTCCAACTGTGGGAATCTATAAAACAATCCTATAAGGAATCTATAGGACAATCATTTATAGATTACTCATGTCTTGGTAACTTCTGGTATTGCAATTCTGTGAACAGTCTCTGGTGTTTTTATTTCGCTTTCTCCTTTGATTTATTGTCTAAAAGAACTGCCAACTCTGAGGGCAAGGACTGACCGTCCTGATGAAGCGCCCAGTACTTGTCACTGATGGATACACTGATTATAATGTCTATTACAAAACCTGCTGCCTCCCCTGAGGGAAGCTTCCAAAAACCATTACAATCCCCCTGGGATTTGCAGACAAAGGAGAAGGAAAAACCAAACAGAACACCAGTCTTGGCCCTTTCCTGCAAGTATCCCAGGTCCTGGCCCTTCAGAATGGCAATGTTGAAGGCCTAGCGCATTTCAGAGTGACCACAAGTGGGAAGGAACAAATCTCAAGGCTCTTTTGAGAATTGGATAAAGGCAGGGAGCTCCCAGAGACTCCCACAGCTGGATGCAGAGGAGTATGTCTCCTGGAGATGAACCCCTCCTGGGCTTACTATGGTGGGGAGAGGGACTGCCACAGCCTTGCAGCCAGTACCCGTCTTCCATTGTACTTCCAATGCCTTTCTTCTGTGTTTCATCCTTTGCATGAGCCACTCTAAGAGAAAAGCTAGTTTAAAAAGTCAAGGCAGACCCGTTTGTCCTCTGTGACTAGATGAAAACAGTAAAGGACAAGACACAGCAGAAGTTAGGAGCAGCCTATGCCCTGGAGAGAGCCATGGGCAAGGACACCCATGTGTAAAAAAAATGCCAAAAATGCACCCTTAAGCCACAGCAGCGTTGAGGAATAATGTTTTATAGTCCCCATCACTGAGCTCAATCCCTCCCACCCAATGGGCTAATAGGTAACCAGGGGTGGGGGTGAAGAACGGATATTCTGGGACTTCACAAAGCAAGGTACCCCCTGGCCAGGAGGGCAAAGGCTTTCTCCTGGGGCCAAGTTGGAAAGAAAACAAATCCGGCCCAGAACCACTTCTGTTTCCTGGACTGCAAGTCTCTGAATGTACTGATATTAAATGCAAATTCTTGGGCTTATCTTGGGTCAAAATCTGTCGTCCTCCTCACACTGGGTATCTCGCCTTGGGCTTTAGGGGGGTCAGCATACCTTGGGCTTTAGGAGAGCTAGCCGGCTTCCTGAGTGGGTGGATTTATCCCTTCCCCGTTTCCTGCAGCGCTGGGTGTGTGTGGAGGGGGAGGGGGCTGCGCTCCGAAGCTCCGGGCTCCTCATTAGCACACGAATACCCCAACTCCCGGCGCCCTCCCGGGCCTTCCCGGGCGCTCCGGCAGCCTGGTCTCCCTGCAGCCCCCTCCCCGCCCCTGCCTGCCGGCTCCGGAGCCCCCGCTCGTCCTGGGGCCGTCTCCCGCCCCTTCCCCTCAGGGTGCAGCGCCCCGCACCAGGCCTCAGGCCCGGGTCCCGCGGCCAGGAGGCGGATCCCGAAGTCCGGCGAGGCCGCGCCGGCCCCGAGCGCTCCTTCCAGGAAGACATTTTGGCTCTTTGTTTACATTCGCGGCGCGGCGCTCCCCGGCAACATGGCTGTCACCCCGGCTGACAGCGCCCGCCGGGCCAGCCTCCCGCCGTCCGGACGAGCGCGCCGCCCGGCCCCACCGGGCCGCGTCCGCGCCGCGACACTTACCATCTGGGGGTGATGGTGGCTGTTGGGAATGTTGGTTTCTTGGAAAAACGTGCTCAGGGCGGTCTGTAGACAAACACGGGACAGAGCGGCATTAGCACGGCCCAGCCGGAGCGCACGAGCCGCCGCCGGCCCTCGGCCCAGCCTCTCGGCCCGCGCCCGACCCCTGCCCCAAACCCGGCCTGTGCGGGGCGCCCTAGCCCCGGGGCCTAAGCGCAGAGCCTCCACGTCCCCCGCCCGGCCCGGGAACTGGGCCTAGGGCCCTCCGCACCCGGGGGACTGACTGGGCGCAGGCCCTCCGCGTCTCCGGGCCCGGCCCAGGCCCATTACAAGGCCGTCACGAGCGGATCCCCCGCCCCCAGAGCCCCGACCGGCCCCGCGGAGAGGGCGCGCTGATCCAGAGGCCCGCGCGCACCTCGAACTGCCAGTGGGCCGCCTGCAGCAGCTGCTTCGCCTGGTCGGCCGCGCAGCCCGCGGCCAGCACGAACTGGTTGATCATGACCTGGTGCCGCAGCTCTTCCATGTTCACCGACATGGTGCGACGGGAGGCCCGGCAGCGTCGGCCGCGCGGATCCGGGGCTCGGCGGCCGCGGGGGCCGCAGCTCGGCTCGCGCTCGCCGCCGCCGCCGCCGCCGCCGCCCGGCGAATGTTGTGGTTCGGCTCCCGCGGCCCGGCCGACACCACAAACAACAGCGCGGGGCGGGGCCGGGGTGTCCCAACGTTCGGGGGCCGCGAGCCGCCGCCGCTGATTGGCCGGCGTGCCGCTCCGCCGGCGGCCGACTCCCAAACAGACGTTCGATTCGAATCCTGCGGCCGGCCGGACTGCACTGTTTCTCTTTTCACCCAGCCGCGCCCATTGGCGGAGCTCAGCGCCGTGGGGCTCCCGGGTATTGGCCGGCCGCTGTGTTTTGGCTTACCCGGGATCCTGGTTGGCTGAGGCCAGGCATTGAGGGCGGGGCTGTATGCACTGATTGGCCTCCAGTGAGCCTGTTCGAACTCAACTTGAAAACCTCGAGTGCCTGCTGATTGGCCGAGGCCCCTCTGTTTGCTGTTGTAGGCTTGGGGGTGGTGCGGCCAAGTTCATTCATTACTTCATTGAAACTGAACATGCTCAGCTGGAAAAGCAAGACAGAGTGGCTTTGACTCATTTCCTCTGAAAGATGTGGTCATCTCGAAAAACAGAATGATCAAAATAGAAAACAGACGGAACCTTGCAGCTGCTCAAGTCTCAAAGTCTTAAATGTTTAAAGTAACTTCCAAGCAGTCAGTTCAAATTAAAAAAAAAAAAATCCTTTGCGCGTGAGGCCCAGGTTTCAGTCCCCAACACCAAAAAAGAAAAGGGCAAGGGGTGTATAATGTACACATAGTAAAGCTATGTCACAGGTACAAGTCACAGACAAAAGGAATAACAACGGATCAATTAACAGAACAATCCAAGAACTCCGATCTTGCCCCCTTCTAATCACTGCCCACCCCAAAAATGGAGCAGTCTTCCTGTTTTTAAACCAAAAAACTTGCTCTCTGAGATGTCAATCAATATTAATGAGTAATGAATATAACTGCAAGAGGGAAAAGTCACTTTCCCAAGTTGAACTTTTTTTTTCCTTTTAAATTGGTTGACCTAACTGAAGCTGTAATTCTTACATTTTTCTTTTTCTTTCAGTCTTTCTTTTCTTTTCTTTTCTTTTTTTTAAGGTGAGTGAGTGTTTCTACACAGGTACTGGTTCCAACTCTAAACCTTTATTCATTTTTAGAGAAGAGCTACTAGTTGCCTAGGCTGGCCTCCAACTCCTGGGCTAAAAGGAGCCTTATGTCTCAGCCTCCAGAGTAGCTGGGACTACAGGAATGCCAACGCAGCCCACAACTCTAGTGTTTTTAAACCCCAATTTGTTTTTATGGTGCTGAGTTTCCACCTTCTGGATTAGGATTTGACCTTCAAGGCTGTTTGGGGATTGTGGAGGTGGAGAAAGGACAAAGAATCTAAACAGATTGAAGTAGGAGGAGAAGTTAGGAAGGTAAAAACATCCACCCACCCTCCAAACCTGTGTGTTCATATATGTAAATAATGGACTGAGGGGTAGCTTGACAGTAGAGCATGCTTAGTCCTGGGTTTCAGCCCCAACACACACACACACACACACACACACAGAGAATTGGCTCTCTTCTGAGCATGCACAGACCTTTTTTTTTTTTTTTAATTTTTTTTAAGAGAGAGGTGAGAGAGAGAGAGAGAGAGAATTTTTTATATTTATTTTTCAGTTTTCGGCGGACACAACATCTTTGTTTGTATGTGGTGCTGAGGATGGAACCCGGCTGCACGCATGCCAGACGAGCGCGCCACCGCTTGAGCCACATCCCCAGCTCACCTTTTTTTTTATTATTATTATTCCCTGAACAAAACAGTAAAACTACTATTTATGTAGCATTTAGATTGTATTAAGTATTGTAAGTAATCTAGAGATGATTGAAAGTGCAGGGGAGAATGAGTGTAGGTTTTAGGCAAATAGGACACCATTTTATATAGAAGGCTTGAGAATTTAAGCATTTTGGTATGGGGAGAGGGAGTCTGGAACCAATTTCCTGGGGCTACTGAGGGACAACTGGGTTGTTAAGGATTTACTATTAGGGTTTCTGTTTCAGAAAGAGTACATTTTTAAAAAAATCTGAACTGCCAATTACAGAGTATATTCTAACTAGTTAAGGTGTGAAGAACAAGAGGCTAGGAAGAAGAAAGCAAGTCATGGTTCTGACTCTACCTAAAATGGATTAAATTCCCCATCTAAGAAAACTCAATCATATTTTAAAACACATAGATCAATGAAGAAAAGATTACAACCAATGTTTATATACTGATGAAAAAACAGCTGAGAATGTAGCTGAATTTTAGGATACTTGCTTAGCATGTATGAGGCCCTGGGCTTCCCCCTACCTTAGCACCTCAGAAAGACAAGGAAACACAGCCTTGGGCATTCTAATGAGTTATCCCATTTAGTTTGTCTTTTGGCTTGTTTGTTTGTTTGTTTTCAAAGGCTGGGAGTACTGTAATTGACCTTGGACACTCCAAAGTGCTCAGGGCCTGAGACCCGAATGTGGTTGGTCAGTCCAGTGTAGTTGTCCCTCAGTGTCCATTGGGGGATTGGTTCCCAATAGCAAAGACAGCAAAATCTGTGGATGCTCAAGTCCCTTATATAAAATGGTGTAGTATTGTACATGACCTTATATATCCTTCAATCACATCTGGACTACTTATAATGCCTAGTGCAATGCAAATGCTATGTAAACAGGAGTACTGTTTGGTTCAGGCAGTAAGGACAAGTGGGGGTGGGGTGTCAGTATGTGTTCAGTACAGACAGTTTCCTTCTCAAATATTTTTCATCCAAGGTTGGTTGATTCCAGCAATGTGGAACCTACAGATAGGAGGGACAACTTTGCAGCTTCCCACCCTTCTCTTCCTGTCATTGCAAGGTGAAAACAAAAGTGAAGTGAACAACCAGCAGCTTCCATTGCCAGGGAGCTCAGGCCACAAGCAGCCTCAGGACAAGGAAGTAGTGTCATTGTGGGGCTCCAGGTTTTCATTAATACATGCAAGTATCATATGCCTTGAATAGTGGAGTCTGCTCTGGGTAGAGTTTTGCTGGCCACAGGACAATGTGCCCCATGGCCTCAGATCTTAATTAACAAGTTCTCAGGGAAGACAAGTATCCAAAATTGCCAAACCTGTTATTTCTCGGACACCAAGGCAGTTGTTCCCCAAGGTTTATTATTAATTTAGTTTAAGCATTTTTTCAGTACTGGGGATTGAATTCAGGGCCTTACATATGCTAGGCCCTGAGTACTCTACAACTAAGCTACATCCCCAGTCCTTTTTATTTTATTTTTATTTTGGTAGTACTGGGGTCTGATCCTGGGGTGCTGTACCTCTGAGCTACATTCTAAGCCCTTTTTATTTTACTTTGATACAAGTTCTTACTACATTGCCCAGGCTGGCCTCTGACTTGTGATCCTCCTTCCTCAGCCTCCTGAGTCTCTGGAAGCACAGGTGTGCACCACTGTGCCCAGCACAAAGGTTTATCTATGGTTTGCCAATCCTGGGCCATAGCTGTGAACACCTGAGTCCCAAGGGTCCCAAGTCAGAGGGACTGGGGTTCTGCTCATCTTCTGAAGGCCAAAGATCTCTCTAGGCAGTGGGAGGGAGAGCTAGAGAGCTCCTCTTGTGATCTGTGGTGCTGCAAGGTGGAAGTACTTTATCAATACTCAGTCTTCTGAGAATCTAGTTGAAGATGAGCGTCTGGGAGCCATGGAGAATGAATGAGGTCATGTTTGCAAGAGGGCTTTGAGCTATTGGGATGAAAGCAACTTCCCAAGTGCAAGGTATTATTAACTGAAGGTGTTATTATTTTAATCTGAGTGGACAATGTGTGGCAGGTAAAACAGAGCAATAAAAACATGCCCATTAATAACAAATAAAACACACGGCAGTGGCCTTGGAAAGAACAAAATCTTCTTGGTGACATCAATAGTTGGGGCCTTGGGACCAGCAATGATGCAGCAACAGGGAAAAGAAACAATCTTAACCAGTATTTCCTGGTGCCTGGTTAAGCAGGGTGTTGTTGGATGCAAGTCACCGTGTCACTCCTGGCAGATACACAATCGCTGGACCGCAGCACACGGCTCCATTTGCCAAGCACTTCATGCAAGCCTGGCCCTCTGGCCTCTCGGAGTGTGCAGTGTCTGTTAACTCGCTTCCATCCTCCCAACCACCAGGAATCCCATTTTGCAGGTGAGGCAGCGGTTTCCCCAAGTCACCCAGTTGGTGGAGTGAGGGGGTGGTTACACACAGTACTACCTCCCTTTATGGCACAGTCATCAACTCAGAAGGGGCTCATGAGGGGGTCCCTTCCAGACAGGAGCTCCCAAGGGCTCTGAGATTTCCACCTGGGAGGCTTGAGGGGGAGCAAAGGGCACAGGCTGTCGTGGAGGAGCATTCCCAAGCCGCCTCCCGGCAGTGCCTTTCAGTGCTGTTCCTTTTCCCTCCTGTCCACTTCCTACTCCCCAAACTCAGACAAGCCCAACACAGATCAGGGAGCGCCAGGAGGAAGGTCGGTCAGAACTCTAATAAGCCCGAGGCTCAGAGGGCCCGGAATATACTCCAGCCAGGGACTAAACCCGAGCTCAAAAAGCTCATTTCCTTCCTCCCTCCTCTCCTTCCCTCGCTTCTCCCCTTCCTTCTCTTCCTTCCTTCCTGTAATTCTCATTTCTTGTTTCCCTCCTATTACTTCAAACTGCCAGAACAGGACTCAGGAGTCGAGTGCTTGCCTAGACAGCAAGAGGCCCTGGGATCCATCCAGGACAAAAGGACAGAGTGTCCAGGGGAGCAGAAAGGAGGGAGAGTGGGAAGGGAAGCACAGAAAGACACCTGGAGTGAACTGCCCCTGGGGCCTCTGGGTTAGGCTGGACCCTGGACCCTCGAAGGCTCAGACCCGGGAGGTGCTGGGATTTCAATGGTCTCATTTTGCTTTTCTGGACTTCTAAATGCTACTGCTAGCTTTTGTTTCTTTAATGTAACCTATATTTTGCTGCTATTTTTTATTGCAAATTTATGCACTTTATACCATGGGGCGG